TTTTAATGTCTAGAATTTATAAATGAAAAGATATTTAATATTCAATATTAATTGTAGCAACAATTCCTATCAATATCTAAGCATTGTTGTTACTATGGCATAAAAATTAAAAAAAAATTATAAAAAAAATATAATGAATTATAAAAATAAAGAATAATAGATTCAGTTTAACACAAATGTGATTATTAAGTGATAATTTTTCTATCTCTTGTGCAACTGTGCACTTTTTGGCTACTGAAAGAATAGTAATTACTTTTTTCTATTGTTTAACGTTAAATATCTTTTTAAATATTATTTAGTTATTATTTATTTATTTTTTAAGTTATAGAACTTTTAACAAACGCCTTAATTTTTTCATCTTTGCAAATGCAACACACTAAAAAAATGTTACAACCTTATAGCTTGTACCTTCTTCTTTGCGGTAGTAAAAAAATATTTCTAGATGTCTCATGTTTTTGTGTAATGATTTTTTAAAAAGTGCATGTTTTCATAAAAAAAACGTCTTATTTTTAAAACTAAGCAAAATCGACCAATAAAAGTTTGTCAAAACATTGTGATAAAAATGTACATCCAAAAACGCTAAGAAACATATGGTGTTTAATTTAAAAAAACACAAGTTTGTATTGTAACTTATTTTTGAGAGAGAGTTCAAAATAATTTTAGGCGATGGACTAGATTAGTATCATCTATCAATGTCCTTTTTAATTTTTAAATTTTACCATTTAAAGGTTACTAATGGACTTTTTCAACTCGCTGGGACATCCTGTATATCAAGTTCTTAGAAAAAAAATGTTTTCTTGTGTGAAAATTCATAACTTATATTTTAAGTTATTGAAATGAGTAAATATGTAGTTTTACTTATTTATGTATTTTTCAGCTGCTCGAACTGCTAGTAAGTTGAAATCTCCAGATCGCATGACCTCAAGCTGCTACGGAAATGTGAACATAATGGAAAATTCAAACATTATGAGCCAAAGTTTAGATCCAACAATATTAAGACAAAGCGTTACTCCTTCAAAAACACCAGGAGAAAAACGTTTAGGTAGTCGTTATTTCCGTTTGTCTACACATTAACTACAATCTTTTTATTAAGTAGATGATGAACCTATTAACAGTCCCCTTCAAGCTCTCTCAAAAATGGTTCCAGTACCAGAATCTCTAATGAGTCCAGATTACCGTCCATCTCCAATTGTTGGGAAAGCACACGCAACAGCTGTGTTAACTCCAGTGAATAATAAGAAACTGCCTCATACTGTGCGTTCTCCGAAACTTTCCAGAAATGTACAAACCAAGACTAAAACACAAACCAACAACGATGGAGGAAAGAGCAGTTCTCCGTCGCCGGCAAGAGCGAGAAAAGCGATGAATCATGAAAGCAATACTAAGTAAGTTTCTAGGAGTATCAAATGAGCGAAAAATGTGTCATTTTTATTCAAAAATTGTGGTCATACGAAAATTTGTCAATTGATTAAGACCATTTAACACAAATATTAAAATTTTTATTTAGATTTGATTTGTTATAGTTTTTTGATGATAAATATTCTTTACACTAAACAAATCTGATAAAGCATATGCAGGTACAGATAAAAATGTAACACGAGAAGAACTCAAGCTCTTATATTATATTTTTACCTAAATTTGATTGATTAAAGGCCAACAAAACCTGCAGGAATTTGATAACAAATATTTAAATAATTATGCAGATATTTGTTCATCGCTTTATGAACACCATGAGTGCGTGGCACGAATGATGTTCGCAAGCTTAATGACCATGAATGCGTTACACATGATTTCATTTTCATAGCAACCGATAAATAATCAAGTTAGTATAAAATAATCACTGCTTTCGTGGAATATCCAGTTATACAAAGTGATTATAAATAATTTTCATCTAGCCAGCTGTGAATTTTTCATGTAAAATAAAAAATGCCGCTTTACGAAAATCGGGGTACCTACTTATTTTAACTCAAAATTAAAAAATCGCGGTTTACTAAGCATCCACTTCGAAAATAGACTTCAATTATAAACTTGTTTTCTTCCAAAGTATACATTATTATCAATTATTATTGTAAATTAGTTGAAATAATAAAAGTTTAATTAACAACAATTTATTATTAATTAATAAGTGATACTAATGACAGAACTAGAGCTTTCAAAAAAAGTAGAGCGGCACAAATAAAATTACATGCAAAAAAATTCCAAAGCTGGCTAGATGAAAATCATTTATAACCACTCTGTATTTTATCACAAGTGGATTATTCGCTTAAATTTGTTGTTGCTAAGATGTTATAGTAAATATCTGCTATTTTATTGGTTAATATTTGAAAGGAAAGAGGTGAATTGAATAGTCAGTCCCGAGTGCTTGCAAAATACGCAAATCATGCACTTGTGAAAATATTCAAGTATGGCATGAAAAAGGAATATATCGAGGGCTATTTTGCGAAAAAAAATTCGTAGAAATTTTACGAAGGAAATAAAAAAAACAAAAAATTACTTTTGGACGAATTACTATAAAAAATCGAGATTCTACTTGCAATATTAATAAGATATAATTGTTTATTAATTTTTAAAATTTAAATCATTAAATGCATTTTGAAAGTAATTAATAGCGCGAATGTTTTGAAAATATTAAAAATATTCACTCCGAGATTCAGTCTATGCATGTGTGCAAATACCCGGGTATTCGAATACTCGATAATATTCGTTCATTGCTGGGTGATTTCTGTAAAATGCATTAATATGATTGGATGAAATTTTCTGAGGGAAATAGTCGCTTGAATTTGCTATTGCTTGGTTACAAAAGTAAATATCTGCTACTTTATTAGTTAATATTTGAAAAAAATAGGCGAATTGAATAGTTAAAAGAGTTTATTTACCTAAATAAATACAGGTGTGTCAGAACTGCGCCCCAGAGAAGAATTTGAAGTAAGATAAAATACCAGAAACATGGAAAAATGTTTAAAAAATTCTGTGTCAAAAAATTCTGACATTTATTATGTCTATTTAATGATACTGATGATCTTGTATAATACAGGGTGTTTCACATAACTGTACGAGGCTTGCGCCTAATGTACGCACCCAAATCTACAAAATTCACAAAACACTAGATACAAAAAATACACATTTAATTAATTAATTTTTGGAAACCATTTATCTATCTTAATCGCTAACTAACTAAACATATTGTAATTTTTGAAAGAGTGAACAAGTTAGAGAAGATTATCCAATTTTTCAAAATTTGTAATCGAGTTCGTATCGGAATATGTATTATTGATTGCATCTTACAGGCGCAGGCCTCGTAAAATTATGTGAGACACCCTGTATATATTTTTTTTATAATTATCTAGTAAAGGTACAAGAATTTTGCCAATAAAAGCCACAAATAACATTAAACAGAGTTACAATTTAGGATACAGCTTCTTTATTTCCTCTTGTAATAGCCTGTAGCAAAAAAAGTTGAAAAAATATTTTTCCAACATAAATAAATAGAGACAAAGTGCAGAATTTTTCAACATTTTTTCCATGTTTCTGGTATCTTACTTTACATGGCATTTTTTCTGTGGCGCGGGTTCTGGCGCACTCTGTATTGTTTATGTTTCTAAGAACACTGAAAAATACCGAATTGTAAAAACAAAAACGAAAATAGAGAGATCCTGTAATAGTAAATGATTGTTTTTTGTGACAATGAACTTGTTGCTTGTCTTCATTAATATTTTAAATTAATAATTCGAAACGATGCAATAAATTCCATATATTTTTGTAGTAAACAAGACAACTTGAACAAAACTTCAATTCTGCGAAAGTCTTTAAGCAGTGACGACGAATCGGAAGTATTTGTTTCAAAATTACAAAAAATCCAAATAAGAGCCGAAGAAAAGCGAATGCATCAAAAAGATACCGAAGTAATGAATAACGGTACTAGCGAAGACAAAGTGGAACAAGCAGCTGTTTTCATACAGAAGATGTGGAGAGGCTACTTTACCCGAAACAGAAACAAAGAAGTACAAGAAATTTTTCGGACATTACAAGCACAAAGAGCAAATCAATATATCCAGTAAGTGAAATATAGTATGTGTGTATTGGTTAGTATTTATAATTGTAGACAATTGACTGACGATATGGAGACAACTAAAGCCGCTTTGGAAAGTGAACGAAAAATCCAGATGTTACAAACTGAAGCTATAAGCGCTTTATGGAAGCAAATGTCGGCTCTGCAGCCGAGTAGTGGACAATCCAGTTCAGCCAACATGACAAATTTATCAACAGATAATGTCGAAGTTGTGAAAGAGTTGGCTAAAACTTGTACGGTGTTGCAAAATCAAGTAAGCAAAATTTTGGTGTAAGCAAATCAACCTGAATCAAAGTATTTCAACAAAATAATAGTTTGAATAAGAGTTTTCTTCCAAAATAAAACAATTTGAGCTATTTTTAATTTAATTTTGCTCGATTTTAATACAGAATTAATTCAAAATTAATGTATTTTATAAAGATAATTGCTTCAATCTCTATTTTAGGCTGAAATAAAATAATTTATGATATTTTCAATAGTTTTGGCTCAATTGGAAGCCGGGAATCAATCTGAACTAACCACTGGCTTAAATAAGAGTTTTATTTTAAAATGAAGCAATTTGAGAGGTCCGTAAAGTTGGCCCCACAAACTAAAATTTTCATAATTACGGCTACATTTATTAAAAGTGCTCTGCAAGTGCTGACGAATGCTGTAAATTAAACTAAAAATGCTGAAAAAAAAAATGTAAATAAATAAGAAAAATCAAGTATATATTGGGGGGCCAACTTAACGGTAGCCCCACAAAATATGAAATTGTAAAATCTAATTGCATTTCTAGAAAGTGCTCGACAAGTGCTGAAAGATGCTGTATAATATTTAGAAAGTGCTGCGAAAATAACCCAAAAAATGAGGATCGTAATTGTGGGGTCAACTTAACGGTAGCCCCACAAACTGTTAAATTATACAATCTAATTGCATTTTTAGAAAGTGCTCGACAAGTGCTCGACAAGTGCTGAAAGATGCTGTATACTATTTAGAAAGTGCTGCGAAAGTAACTCCAAAAATGAGAATCGTAATTGTGGGGCCAACTAAACGGTAGCCCCACAAAATGTTAAATTATGAAATCTAACTGCATTTCTAGAAAGTGTTCGACAGATGCTAAAAGATGCTGTATAATATTTAGAAAGTGCTGCGAAAATAACCCCAAAAATGACAATCGTAAATGTAGTTTTAAATGTTTGGTAATATGTCACCTCAAAAAACGTAGTTGCGACGGTGCTAGTTTAGCAATAAAAAAGTCTCGAGATGTAATTGCGAAAATGTAATGGACGGGTGAATTTAGAAGTACAAGGTGAGTTATTTCTGATTTTTTTAGATGCAACCAATAATACACCAATTTTGCAAATCGGTAATTGTTAGAAAGCTAACGTTTAGGTACAGTCAATCGATTTAAAAATGTCGTGTCCATGAAACGAACCGCTGGGCTTGCTGTCGTTCCTCCGACCACAACCATCTCCAATAAATCATTTCGCATCCTAAAATTAAAGGTTCTTTACCTAATAACATGGGCAACAAAATGTGAAGTTTCTTATTCACTAAAATTTTGATATTTTATTATCATTGATTGTTAGTTACACATTGTTTTAAAGATAAAAGAATCCGGAAAATCAAAAGTCGTAGATATGTTATATGCCACATCAGAAAACTGCATGAGAAAAAATAAATGTAATGATTAATATAATTTAATTTTACTCGCGTTGTTATGGTTATTAAATGGCACTACAGATTAAAAAAAAAATGACTAATAGTCACCGAAAAGGCATAAAGCATGGCTTATTAAAATTAACAGAAAAAAAATTATGTGGTGTGTTCTATTCATTCTAGACGAGAGAAAAAATTAGAACGTCAAATTGGCTTACGAAAAATTCATTGGCTTGTAACATTTTGCCTATAATTGTTTTACTATACAGGGTGATTCACATAACTTTACGACCCTGGCGATCTTTAAATGCAAACCATTATACATTATTCATTTAAAACTTGATATCCTTAGTTATGTTTAATTAGCATGAAATCTGGCACCCCAGATATCAATGACAATTACACTTGCCAATTCTTTTTTGTAAAATTTCGAACATTTTTGTTAATCAAAATAACGTAAGGGTCGACATGATATTCATTTATGGTGAGTGTCAGAAGAATACAGTAAGTAGCAGCCAAAAATTTGTCTCGTAGGCATTCGACAGATAAAATTTTAAGACAATTGTAATTTGAGTTGCGCCTAAATTGCGCAAAATAAAAACGCCATAGACTGCAACGAATCCTAATAATGAAATAAGAGTTATGGACGCTGTGGACAATAACCCACATGTCAGCCAGAGGCAAATTTTGAGACAAACTGGAATAAGCCAGTCGTCGATTAACTGGATTCTAAAATTGACATTGGTTAATTGGTCCAAGCGTTAAAGGAAGCTGATCATGAAAGCGAGTTCTCTAAAGGATATGAGGGATAAAATTGACCAAAAACCTGATTTTTTAAAGTTTGTCAGGCATATCCAAGTCTTAAATAAGTTTATAATTATTAGTGTTTATGAATCAAGTTATAATAAAATTGAGTAACGTATTACTGCGGTTGCATTTAAAATTCGTCAGGGTCGTAAAGTTATGTGAATTACTATGTATTATTATGTTATATTTTACATTGTATTGCCGAATGAATTTTACAAGCACAGGCATCGTACTTAAAACTAATGTAAATTACGCTTGATCTTGGATATATTTTCACATAATTGTTTAAATATTATATGGCATCTTGCAGCATTTATCGAGTACTTTTAAAAGTACATACTTTAAAACAATAATTATCCAGATCAAAGATCAGAGCCTAGATGATTGGTAGGGTTTATTCTGAAATTTTCTTTGATGCAACTAAAAATACTAATTACAGTTTCTATTTGATATTGCGTGATTTTTAAATAATGATGAACCAAAATTTGACAATATTCAGAACAATGCATTCATTGATTAATTTTGTAATTTTCTAGCACTTAGAACTACATTTACGATCGTCATTTTTGGGGTTGTTTTCGCAGCACTTTCTAAATATTATACAGCATCTTTTAGCACCTGTCGAACACTTTCTGGAAATGCAGTTAGATTTCATAATTTAACATTTTGTGGGGCTACCGTTTAGTTGGCTTCACAATTACGATTCTCATTTTTGGAGTTATTTTCGCAGCACTTTCTAAATAGTATACAGCATCTTTCAGCACTTGTCGAGCACTTTCTAAAAATGCAATTAGATTGTATAATTTAACAGTTTGTGGGGCTACCGTTAAGTTGACCCCACAATTACGATCCTCATTTTTTGGGTTATTTTCGCAGCACTTTCTAAATATTATCCAGCATCTTTCAGCACTTGTCGAGCACTTTCTAGAAATGCAATTAGATTTTACAATTTCATATTTTGTGGGGCAACCGTTAAGTTGGCCCCCCAATATATACTTGATTTTTCTTATTTATTTACGTAGCATTTTTCGTTTAATTTGCAGCATTCGTCAGCACTTGCAGAGCACTTTTAATAAATGTAGCCGTAATTATGAAAATTTTAGTTTGTGGGGCCAACTTTACAGACCTCAATTTGAGCTATTTTCAATTTAATTTTTCTCGATTTTAATACAGTATTAATTTAAAATTAATTTATTTTATAAAAATAATACATGTTTTTTTTTCAGATTCAGCAATTACAAAGTTCAATGCAAGATATTGTGAAAGTTATGACAGTTTTCAGTCAGACAGCTTCAATAAATCCGAATGGAATTGCGACTCAAACTGAAATCGTAGCTGTACATACGCCACAAGTAAGTCGTAAGAAAATGATTGCTGATTGGTTAATATTATGTCAAAAAAAAAACAGGGGGAAGCAGGAAAAGTGTTTCCTTTCCACAAACAAGCACGACCATCGTCTCTCCCACTGCCGATCAATCAACGCAAAAAAGACAGCGTCAATACGGAATTGCAACAGTACGCTGATGATCTAGTAGATGGCGTTATTAAAACTGTGTCGGAAACAAGAGCTGATTGTGTAGGAAGTGACCTGACGGAAATAACAGTCACGGATACAGCGAAAATGGAAGAATCGCAAATATCAAACTGAAAATACGTTAAGTACCAATTTTATTTAAGGATTAGTTTGGTGGTGTATACAGGAGTGTCATTTAAAAATTTATCTGACACACGCTGTATTTAAATCAGTGTGACGCAAATTAGTTTTAAACTATAATGATTTTTCTTTGTTTTTGTACCAAATATAACTTTATTATACACAAACACGTTTAGATTTTCAGCTTTTCTTGTGTGCATACAAAGTACAAATTGTTTTTAAACAGTGACAGCTTGTATTTTTGAAAGAGTACCACAATTCCACCACTTTGACTTGTAATAAAACTGTGGTACTCTCAAATATACAAGGACACTTAAAGTTCCGCACCTTCATAAGTGATGCAATTTTTAAGCTTTAATAAATGTTGGAAGATTTTACTTGAATTTATTTATCAACATCGAAATTATCCTTTTCATGTATTAGTTTTAATTAAAACCAGTGATAGAGTAGACTGATTTTTTATAATAATACAGGGTGTTCCGTCTAAACCCCACATTAGAAGTATTGGGAGTTCGAATAATCGTATTTATTTGAAAATTGGTACATATGCATTATGTCCTCCTAAATGATCAAGATGGCGGCACTTTCGCTTATACCTGAAGTCGGTCTCAACTTTCTTATTTTAAATAGAAAGGTACATTTTTTACTGCGTTTTTGGATTAATCGGGTTATTTTAAGGGAGTTTTCATCAGCTTTCCCTATACCTTTAGCCGTTTTGAATTCGTTTTTTTGGCGTTTGAAAGAGAAAACTTAGATCCTTTTTCTGGTGCTTTCAAATTTTGAAAAAAAAAACATATCCCAAAATTTTAAGGTTACTTTTGTAATAATTCAAATACTCATAACTCAATTATTTCAAATGAAATACCCCAATTTTTATTTTACTAAATAGAAGAGAATGTAATTGTGTATTGAGCTGTATTAACATTTAACCTAAATTTAATAATTTTCAAGTTATTTTATTTGTTAAGACTACAGAAAATTTATTACTAGCCACACCCGTTTTCACATAGTTTGCTATGGACACAAAAATGTCACAATTTTCTCTAAACAAACGTCAACAATAAATTACTTTTTAACAAAATATGAAGAATCAAAATTATGTAAACTTAATTATTATTGATAGGTTCTACCATGCGTTCATTATTTAAAGTTAAGTGAGAAAAATTTATTTTTGTTTAATGACCGACATCATAAAATTATGATGTCGGTCATTAACAAAATTGTTACACTCTCCATAAATACAAAATAAATTAATTAAATCTAAGTTTGAGTATAGCTTTGATTCTCCATATTTTGGCACTATTTGTCAGATAATGAGTCACTGTCGACGTTTATTGAGAAACAATTTTGACATTTTTGATTTCTATAGCAAACTACACGAAAACGTAATAAATTTTCGACAGTCTTAACAAAAAGTCACCATAACTTAAAAATTATTAAATTTTGGTATAGAGAATGTTAATACAGATCGATGCAGAATTAAATTCTCTTCCATTTAGTAAAATAATAATTGGGGTATTTCATTTGGAAAATTTGTGTTATGGGTATTTGAGTTATTACAAAAGTAACTTTAAATTTTAGGGTTTGTTAATTTTTTTTCAAAATTTTAAAACACCGGAAGAAAGATCTAAACTTTCTCTTTTAAACGCCAAAAAAACGAATTCAAAATTTTAAAGAGTTACCGATTTTTAAAGTGGAAGGTGCAAATCCAAAAATTTTTGAAAAACTCCAAATATTTCAAAAACGGCTGATGAAGCTGATGAAAACTCCCTTAAAATGACTTGATTAATCCAAAAACGCAGTAAAAAATATAGCTTTCCATTTAAAATAAGAAAGTTGAGACCGACTTCTGGTATAAGCGGAAGTGCCGCCATCTTAAAAATATTTTAATTTAGGAGGACTTAATGGTTCATGACTATGTACCAATTTTCAAATAAAGACGATTTTTCCAACTCCCAATACTTCTAATGTGGGGTTTAGACGGAACACCCTGTATGCTGAGAAAAAACTTTTTATCAACGAGTGTAATTATTGTTTTGGCGTTGGCTTGAATCATCCCATTTTGACAACAAAAACTGATATATTTTTGACATTTCATATACATTTTTATTATCATGGATTATATACTTTTACAAACGTATACAATATAAATATTTTTATAATATGGTGGAAGACAGTACTAGTGATGATAATACTACAACTAACAAAGGCGTGAATGCCCGGTCTGAGTCTTTGCCAGTTAGGGTTCACAGATGTGAGTACCAATACCATAAAYACGAAAATACAAGACATTTTTATTAATAGTTTCGGAAGCTGAATCTTCGTCAACAAATGCTCCAAGAGGTTCCTTATCAGATATTAAAAACGACATTCAAAACGTGTTAGATCTTATGGGTCCAACAACTCCCGATTTGACCACAACACATTACACAAGTAGCGATGCAGACAACGATGAATTTGTTTTGTCATCACTTGATGTAACAATAATGTCCATTTTCTTACTACTTAGACAAACTATTCTTTAAAGACACGTCGTCCTAGACTCTCTTCTGGTTGCGACAAATGTCCAAACAATTGTTGTACTTCAAATAAAACCTCCAATTCGAAAACTACAAACCAGGATTCGGTCATGGCCGATATTGGAACGTGTTCATTGAGCAATTTTGAGCATTTTGAAGACATTGAACCTTCTTGTTGTGATCATGCCCATCTTGGTGTTAGTCCGGAATGCTTGTGTATGATACCTTGTGCAAGCCATGGTAATGTGTCCACGAAATGCGAAGGTATAGCTTTTCTTCTATTGTAGGATCGAAATCAGTAGATATAAATACAGGGTGTCCCAAGTTTTAGGGTCGGTGGAAAATTACATATTTATAATTGATTAAAAAATAATTTTGATAATGTAAACGTTTGAGGATTAAATACACTTAATTTGATGTTTTGATATTGTACAAAATTTTTTGGCGTATGGTAGTGAGAGCTTAAAAATTAAATTTGGAGAAAAAAAAATTTGAATGAACTGGAATATTTTGTACATGATGAAATTCTATGATTTTTTTTGTGGTACTTGTGAAAATAGAATAATGATAAAGTTGATAGGTTTTGAATAATTAACATTTTAATATTAAAAAACTGAAACTTGGAATGATTTATGGGGGGATTATTAATAGAAGAAAAATGTCCGCAATGACATTTATGACGTACACCCAGGAAAAAAACTATTCACCAGTCTAACTTTCTATGTCCATGTATTTCATTACCTTAAACAAAATTTTTGTGATTTGCTTTTAATTTTATTAACAAATTGCTAGTTTCTTCCGTTTTTTATATTTATTTTTATTACTTCTAAACAAAACAAAAAACCCTAAGTGGTAAATTTAATGCCATAATAATAATAATAACTAATATTATACAGTATGTCCCCGGATTTTTTTATTTTACTCTAACACTGCAAAAAAAACATTTTTGCTTCACCTGAAACCAGTAAGTCTGTAATTTTAAAAGTTCATTATTTTCACTCAGTGGAAAGAAAATTTAATTTTTCTCTTGATTTTGAGCTTGTAATAACTAATAACACTATAGTCTACAAACAATACGATGTTTAATGTACCTTTAATCGAATTATTATTTTTATGTTAACTTACATTTATTTAAACAAAAATAATTGTTAAATTTTTCTATCACGTCACACTTTTTTTGTTACAGACGATAATTTTCCTGCTTTCTACACAAATACCTCCGATTTAAAATTTATTTAAATTCAAATTGTTGCTGAATTATTGCAAAATTATTACTATATGGGTCTAAATAGGTCTTAAAAACATTTCACTCGCATTTGGACTTCTTTTCTAAAAATTTAGGGAGCATGAGTGACAAACAAGACGAGCGTTTTCATCATAGTCCGGTCAAATTAGTCATAAAAATAATGGTCAAATAACAAAAATTCCGACAGAGCTAAATTTTGGTGGAGACTTTGGGTACACCATTAGAAATAAAGTGTCAAAAGTCCCCATCGATCCCATGTGTGCTAATAAAGTTCTTCGGGGTCAAAGGTCAAAATTTGATGTTTTTTAGATTTCTTTTGAAAACGGTAAGTTTTATCAAAAAAGTAGTCCAGACAAAAAAGATAGACCTTAAAAATATCTACAAAAAGGTCCTTATACTTTTTTTTCTAAGAATCACCATTGCTGAGATATCGCGATTTTAAAAGTTGAAGGAGTCACTTTCTATATGATATGCACATACATAGTGAGCCAGAAATCGCGCCCCCAAAAAAAATGCTATGTAGGGTAAGGTACCACGAACATGGAAAAAAATTAAAAAAAAAATTAAAATTTTGCCTTTATTTCTTTATGTTGAAAAAACAATTTTCCAAGTTTTTTTTGCTACAGGCTATTAGAAGAGGAATCAAGGAAGCTGTATCCTAAACTGTAACTCTGTTCAATGTTATTTGTGGCTTTCATTGACAAAATTTTTGACAAGTCCAAAACTAAGAAAAAAAACTTTTCTTTTCACTGAGTCAGAATAATGAAGTTTTGGTTACAGATTTGCTCGTTTCAGATGAAGCAAAAACAATCCTTGCTGTTAAAGTGTTACTTTATCTACTCAAAAGAGTTTTTAAAGAAATAGTTTAACATCTGCTATAAAAAAAAGTATTTCCTTTGCTTTTTCGGCGTAAAATCAAAGGTAAAATTTTTTATTCTCTTGTAAACCTAACCCGGGAACATACTGTATACTTGCAAAATACATTTCTTAAATTTTATGTATTTGTAATTTGATAATTTGAGCAAGCTTGTTTATTATAATCACAATTTAATGTATACGTTATAATTTATGCTCATTGAAGTAATTTTCACAAAAAGACATTTTTCGGGTCCGGACCAACTTCCTAAATAAAGGTTTTTCGACATATTATCTGCTCTCCAACTAGTTAGTCTATTGTCAATGCATTACCAGCACATCATTCCAAATTTGGCCATAAATTACCAGAATTCCCAATTTTCAATATTAAAATATTAATTACTCAAAATCTATCAACTTTTACATTATTAAATTATCACAGTTATCATTAGAAAAAATTAAGGATATTTATCATGTAGAAAAGATTTCAATTAATTAAAAAAATCAAATTTGGTTTTTAGGGTCTCACTGACATACGCCAAAAATTTTGAACAATATTAAAGCATTAAATTAAAGGCTATATTGTTTGCTCTAGCAATTTTTTTTAAATCAATTGGAAATATTTATTTTTGCATCGGCCCTAAAACTTGGGACACCCTGTACAATAATATTGTGTTTACGCGTCTATAAAACCAAGTTTTGTTTGCACGTTTTTTAATTATAACTTAAATTTGGAGTTATTGAGAATTCTTAAATTTTTACAGAATCTGTTTTGGTCTATTTATTAGGAATTGTGAATTGGTAAGTTTAATACTGAATTGTCTTAAATACTTCCGACATTTATATTTATGTGCAACGTCGAAAAAATAGTTGAAAATAATTTTAAACAATTTTACTTTTTCTAGCAAAAGTGGCACATCTTGTGTACTTATGTAGATACCTTTCTAGGTTATTATATTATACCGAACAAAAGTGCATCGAAATTAACAGTCGACTGTAAAAAGCGAAATTTATTAGAATGGATAAAAAATAGATCACATGAGCTTCTAGTAAAGAAACAAAACTACAGTCCTTGTGACTTGTATAAAATTAACATATGTGGACAAGAGGATGATGCAGGTCCTCCAAAAGTAATTGTTACAATTTTTTTAATCATTTCACAGGCACAATACAACAACTAGAGTAACTACATATAGGGTGTTAAAAAAAGATTGTAAAATATTTCAGGAGGTTATAGTATGAACCACAACAAACAAAAAAGTCTTAATAAACATAGGTCCACAAAGAAACGGTTTCGGAGATATCGAAGATTATTCGTTTGCAATCTATTCAAACAAAAGAGAGTTCTAGTAAAAAAATTTAAAATTTTCACATTCGATATCTCCAAAACCGGTACTTTGCGGACCCATGTTTATTAAAACTTTTTTGTTTATTTTAATCCATACCTTACCTTCTTAAATATTTTACAATCTTTTTTTAACACCCTGTATTTTTAAATTTATATAGTGTGAACAAGAAATGTGAAACCAAGTGTTTTTGGTTAAACTATTGGTGAAAGGTAAAATGCTAGAATGAAACTTTTGTAATTTTTTTTTTTCGTTAACAACCTATTGTGATATTTTTTAAACAAAAATTGAATTCTATTTCGAAAATTCATAGTTTTAATTCAATGAAAAAAACACTTGTTCACCTGTGTAATGGCGTCTGAAAATAACAAGAAACCAAAAATGTCCAAAAATATGTCGCTGTTTTCACAGTATTATTTATTCTATTAGTTACAGAAGTTAAAAAAAATGGTTTTTTTTGAGTTATCTAGTTGTAGTATTGAGGTGACGATTTATGGACCTTTTTGAGTAAAATTAATTTTGGATAAACTTCCATCATTTGAATCAAGAACGAACGGAGCAAAAAAATGTTTCATTCTCAATTTTTTCCAATAAAAATTCTTACTCAGAAAGGCCTCAAATATTATGGTCATAATTAAAATTCAGAAATTATTTAGCGCGTAGTCTTCGATTTGGTCGATGGTATTCCTAGACCGACTTCAACAACTGTTGCAACAAATACAATCCATAATCCTGTAGAAAAAACAACGAAAAATAACGAAACAAATTCTAACAATTGTAACTGCAGCGAATTGAAATCCAATAAAAGAACACTCACAATGGCCCAAAGTACGATTCAAAAAAATGTTTATTACGACAGTGAGGGTAATACAAGAGTTGATTATTATTATTTTGACCATGGAAATGCCCAGTATGTTTATTTTTCCAAATAATAATTATTTCAACTTCAATTCCAGATATCTTCATACTACTGATACACCTCCTGTGATGAAATGCGAAATTATTGCTGAAAAAACAGAAAAATATACGACAAAATTTTGGGCTGAGTTTTTTGCTTCTATTCACATTGGGGTGTCTTTTTGTGTGTCTTTCATTCTGCAGTTGTTTAAGTTTTTATTGTATAGTATATTTCGACCAATCTTTGTCGGTTTGATGCAAATGTGGTCTGATTATCTCTTCAAACCTTTTCTTACAACGTTGTTTAACGGCGTTATTCAACCGTTTTTGATATTTCTTTACAACATTGCTACTTCGGTTAGGGATCTATGTGATCCGATTGCGGAAGCTTTTGGATATTACTGTCGAGAATTGGCTGTTTTGCTTAGGGCTATTAGGTTATGTAGTTATAAGAAGAATGGCAAAGAAGATAATAGTTGTGATTACAAGAAGAAATATAAGTGTGAATGCTAAATAGATGTATTATTATATTAATATGAAATATACACATAACAGAAAGAACAGTTTTAATGAGAATATTTTAATTTCCCACTGAAATGTTATTATTTCTTCTATAGTTATGTATGATTTTTTTAATTWATTTATTTTTTTGTAAAATTATATGAACAAAATTGTACTATCGACGTCAAAAAAAAAATAGAAATACCAATTTTTATATTTTTCTTTTTATGTCATTGTTTCACAGTACTATTTTATTACCTACTCCCTCTATAAGTAGAAATCAATAATTAAACAAATCTTTAAGATTTTCTTAACCTACCTCACACCCGTAATTTAAAATTGAAAATAAATTTTACTAATCTAGTCTTCAAATATACATGTTTCAGAACCTCTGACTTGGTGACGTTTCTTAACGTCAACATGACAGAAGAAACTTGATTACAGAGGTTAAAACCGTCAAAAAATTAATATGTACAGTTCGGAATTAAAATTTCTGGCAGTATTTTTCTGTCACTTCAAAAAGTTCACTGTAAACTACCTTTTACTGTCACTATGACTGACATTTGACAATTAAACTTTTCTGTCGGTGACGCTATTTTTGAAAGTAAATAGGTAAGTCAAAATGACATAAACGTGACAAGAGTAAAAAATTAGATTATCAATGTAAAGGTTGTTTTAGAGTTTACATTATGAAAATGACAATACTGCCCGAAATTTTAATTCCGCAACTGTACTTGATTTATGTTGGTGTTTCCATTTTTTTGACGCCCATACTACATAGAACATGTACAATATAAAGTGATCAAAAGATAAAAATAAGTGACACGAAGCAAAAAAAAATATCTTAGGAAAAAATTAACATATTGAAATGATTTTTTTAAACAATGGATATAAATAGGTACTCTACGAACGTGGTAATGTATGTTTTCCAAAAACTTGTTATTAACATATAATAATTTAAAAATACACCACTCGAAAAAATTAAAGGAACAAAAATTTTTCGTCAATTTTTTGGTGATTTCTGAAAGGCTGTATCTCATCAAAAAATGGTCGTATGTAGATTAAAAAAAAACATTTTGAAGCTTTGAGTTTCTAGTTTCTTCTGGCAAAATTTTTTCTGTGCTATGGCTAGCACGCAATTCTAAGTAATAGAAATATTTTTTTTTGTTTTTGGTCCACAGACGTGATTTTTTTTAGTTAAGTCAATGCATAGGCCAGATACGAGTAGCGTGTTTATTCAGCTTTAATATGCTTTTCTCATATTCTCTTTATGTCAATTTGACGCTGAGATATCTGACTTTAAATGAAAAATGATCCTTTTGTCTTTGATCATCGATATCTCAGCAATCAATGACCACACAGAGAATATAAGGATAGTCTCTTACAATAAAATTAAAAAAAAAAATTCACTCTCAACATTGATTAAGAAAAGAGAAAAAAGTTGCTTTTTGCATTGTTTTAGTAAATCTACCGCGTATTCACTAATATTGAAGAACCGTTTTCTCAGACCGATTGATCGAAGTTTTACAAAAGAATTAAAGGAACAATTGTACATATTGTTTCTGAACATTGTCTAATCTTCGTCCAAATGAGAAAAACAATTTTTGATAATGACTTTATACAAATTATAATCATTTTGTTCTTTTGTGGCTAATCATGTATAAAATTTGGTGAAGAAATATTATTTTAGTGTTGCAATTTTAGTTATCTCTTGGGACATAATTATCTTTTATAAAATTTTGGTATTATATTACACCTATTAGTTATTTTTTAAAAAAGTACATGCAAAGTCATGAAGACTTTTATCCGATCGGAGATTCCGCTAGAGAAGAGTTTTTAGTTGCTCGATTTTTCAAATAATAATTGATAACTAAAAAAAACGGTCCTTGGTCATATCTTTTTACCATTTGCAGATTGCCGAAATGATTTTATCTAAGGTCTCGTCGATTATGGGCAACTACGAGTGATTTCTGGCCAGTCGGAAATTCAGTGTTTTGTTTCATGGTCAAAAATCCGTTTTTTTTTTCTCATTTTTCAGAAAGCTGTAAATAAGTCCCACTGGAAACCTGAAGTTGATTAGATAAAAGCGTTTTTGGTTTTTCAACTTCTTAAAATAATAATAGTTTTGAAGTTTTCGATTTTTTTGATTTCCATTTGGATATCCGAAAAAAGGTCATTTCAGGTCAACGTTTACAAATATTTGCTTCTTTCGACACTTGTTACGAGAATAATTATTTCAAGCGATTAATTGTTAAGACATTTGAAACAAACATTTTTTTTAAGTATTCAACTTTTGCTTACGAAATACTCGATAGTAATAATTAATACAGTTGAACTCTTTACTCCTATCACATTTTATCCGTACAGTTTAATTTTTTTTCCAAACTGCTTCTGCMCCAACTTTTTTAATGTATTAATAATTAAAATATACTTAAATACAATTTATTTATAACATATTAATAAATAATATAAGTAACATAAATAATTTATTTACTATTTACCAATTTATTATTGGAAATAGTAAAAACGCTAATTACACTACCCAACAATTTTTTTTAACGTGATTGATCTATTGACACGTGTATCAGGGCACATTAGCATCCCTAATTACGAATTTGATAAGAAAAATTATCCATCACGTCCAGATTTTAAGTTACAGGAAAATAGTTTTCTCAAATTTTATCGTAAAAATTGTTCATTTTAAATAGAAATTACTCGTAATTAATAGACGACGAAAAAAATCAATTTATTCACTAAAGAAGAACAATGTTGAAAGATGTATAAGATTCTAACATAAATCTGTTGTAGATGAGTTTTTTGCAAAAGCTGACTTTCTTTTGTAGGGTGTTTTAACTTCCCTTATCAGGAACCAGCAGTAATCCCCCTTGGTACCTGTTTTCCATCGTCAATATATCCTGGTGGAACTTTTACCCTTGCTCGTCACTAACGACACCCAAATTTGGGGAAAAAAAATTAAATGAGAATGGAGAAAATTAATTTTAAGTGTTTCGTTTTTTGGCGATTTTGACGAACATACTTACATATGATATCTTAAAATGCCTAACTTTAAAATCTGACGTGCTATGGAATTTTCTTTATTATTTTTGAGTTTAGCACATAGAATTGAACAATAAATAACTGTTTTCTTCTCAATCTCAAAATGCTCGTTGGCTAGTGTTATTGTGTTTTTATTACTTTTTGATATAAATTGAAATATACTTTTATCTCCCTCTTTAATTTATTTGATTTTTTATTGTAAACATGATATTTCTCTTTTTGAAAAAATATATGTATAATTAAATACAGTATACAGGGTGTGTCAAGTAAGATAAGATACCAAGAAGATGAAAAAAAAATATTTAAAAAATCCTATCTGTCAAAAAATTTTGACATTTATTTTCTGACATTTGACATCTTTTTATGTCTATTTAATAATACTGTTAATCTTGTATATGTTTTTCTACAATTATTTAGGTAAAGGTACAAAAATTTTGCTAATAATAGTCACAAATAACATTGAACAAAGTTACAATTTTGGATACAGCTTCCTTGTTTTTTATTTTATTTTTATTTTGCCAATACATGCCACAAATAACATTACACAGAGTTACAATTTAGGATACAACTCTCTTGTTTCCTCTTCTAATAACCCGTGGCAAAAAAAATTGGAAAATTATTTTTCCAACAGAAATAGAGTTAAAGTGCAAATTTTTCTCTGGGGCGCAAGTTCTGGCGCACCCTGTATAAACAATCTTTAGGTACTAACTTTAGTTAGTTGTTCGATTTAATTTTATAAAAACTAGTTATTTATTATACAAGACCATAAAATTGAATTTTGTTTTTGAGAACAATTTAGCGTTGAGGCATCAGCCGAGATAGAGGATTGAATAAATGTTAATTTGATACTCCTAATTGTCACTTCGAACCCGTTGTAATAATTAGTTCGGACTATAGAGGTTCTATTGTAATAAATAAATTGATAAGTAGGAATAATAAGAAGAAATAGTTACTAGGTATCCAGTCACGATAAGAATTGATAGATAGAAAATACAAACACGGTTTGATCCAAAAATAAAAATATTTTTAAATTTAATACACGTCACGAGCTGATAATGGACAATTAATAGTTTCAACAAATAAACTAGGGTCAGAGTTGTTATGAATGTTATGATAGAATAACCACATCCAATCACAGTCAATTAGTCCAGCGTACGACGAACATCACCACTTGTAAACACAAACATGTTGCGAATAACCGGCAGAAGGATTCTAAAAACGAAAAAAATACCGAAACTCCAAATACACAAATACACCACCGAAAATCAACTCCCTAACCAAGCCGATGTTGTTGTAATTGGTAAGTAACTTATTTGGTGTTTTTTTTGTTTTGGCTAAAATAAATAAAATAGGTGGTGGTGTGGCCGGTTGTAGCCTTCTCTACCACTTGTCCAAAAGAGGTATTAAGGCTGTTTTGCTCGAAAAAGCCAAAATAACAAGTGGAACCACTTGGCATACAAGCGCCTTATGTTGGAGACTAAGACCCAGTGATGTTGACATAAAATTGTTGGAATCAACGAGGAAACTTCTCATAGATTTGGAAAAAGAAACGGGACTTAATACGGGGTGGATTAATAATGGGGGACTCTTCATTGCCAAAACAGAGGTAAGTTATTTGGATAAATGTATTTCTGGAAGAAATTACAATTAAAATTTAAAATGCTATTTTTAAATAGCATATTTATTATTTGTTAAATAAAGAGCTTTTTAGTATTCTGAAATTCTAATCCTTATGCAATAACACTGTTATCTACATCACAAGTTGTTTCTAAATATAAATATTTTTATTAATTATTATCTTGGAAAATAACTGAAAGTTCATTAACTCAATTGTAATGTACCTGTTTTAATGGATGAAATTGTTATCATTTTTTGATACCATATTCGCAAATATAACAAAAATAAAATCGATGTAATTGCCTAATTACTATGTTTATATCCTTGGCGTTTATTTTTATTGTCGAAATAATTATTTTTATGGTTTTGAAATGTCGAATTTTTCTTAAACGAAAATTTTAAAAGCTGTGATAAATAAAATAAAAAAATGGAGTTTTTTCTATTGATTTTACATGTTTGTCAAATAAAAGAATAATTTGTAATAAACATCAAAGTTTGATTATTTACTCCTCCATTATTATAAGTACTGTGTTATGAGCAATAACGAGGAATTTTAGTAATAACTACTCATAAGTGCAATATTTATTTGGAAAGGATATATTGACTTAATTTGAAATTGTTCTCATAGACCTGTTAAATGTAATTTTATTGATTTAAATCTAGTTATAGTTTTTAAAATATTATTATTCGAAGCGTTTTTTTTGTTTCAAAATATTGACATAATTAACATCATATTAAATTCCGAATTTCTGGTTTAAAAGTCAACTTCAAGTAGAAATATATTATTTTATTCAAGTCTAATAAGATTCTGAATTTGTACATTATTTAAAACATCAAATTCCGAGTTTCAAACTAAAAACAGGTAAATCTGAAATGATTTTTAATAGTTCAGTTTACAAAATTTTTAAAATTGTAATTAACAATTCTAAACTTTAAATATAAATCTTGTTTTAAACTAGTTCTAGTTTATTTCTAAATTTGAATTATAAAGTAAAAATTTATTGATAAGGTAAAATTTAGCACTATATCGAAATTTAGAATTTGAAATCGAATTTGAAAATTAATATTTCGAGGCCTTAAAATTCTGAGTTACAGTAAAATTACAAAATCCTAATTTGGTTTCATGTGTTTATCACAATTTCTGGTTTAACAAAAAATATGATTTATTAAAGATCGAAATTTTCAATTCTAGTAGAAGTACCTAAATAATTACAAATTTCAAGCTTGAAAGTGAACATTTTCAATCTGAACATTGTATTTTTTTTCACGGATTTTGGGGTTAATTAGAATTCAGTCGGAATTTTTATTCTCGAATCTAAAATTCAAATAATAAGAATCTAAAACTAAAATTTAAAATTCCAATGTTGTTTTATAAATTAGATTTCCGATCTCAATTTTTTAGATAAGTTAGAATTCGGCATTTATAAATCGGAATTTAAAAAAAATCAAATTTTGGAATTCTGACCTTCAGACAAAATGCTGACGTGAACTTCGAAGCTTGAAATTTTTAATTGAATTGTCATCATAGTCAAAAATTTGAACCGAAATATTTATTTGAAACATAGGGTTCCGAATTTTAAACTCATATTTTGTGGTAAGTTAAATATTTAATTCCGACCCTCAAAAATATGTATTGAAACTTGGAATTCACAGTTTCAAAATAAACTTCAGTTTTAAACCAAAAGTTCTAGTTTTTAAATTAACATTTCAAACTTGAATTTTCGAAATCTGAATTAGAAATCGAAAAGTATAAAATCCACAGATAGATACCTAACTTTAAAAAGGATAAAAATTGCTGTAATTGACCCATTATACGAGCTTTACTTATTTACTTATTTAAAGTGTTTTCCTCTAAATGTTGTAAACAAAATATTGGAAACCATTCCACCAATTATTTTTTGAAATATGTACTGCGGATACTGATAAGATTCGTCTCGTCGATGATAAACATATACTATTAATTAAAGTTAAATAAAAATGATTTATGATAAAAAATGCTTTTTTGTAGGAAAGAATCCAAGAATATAAACGCCTTCACACATTTGGACACTTTTTCAACATCGAAAGCCATATAATCTCCTCCAATGAAGCATCTAAACTCTCACCTATGCTTGATCCAAACAAGTTCAAAGGAGCTCTTTATTCTCCAGGAGACGGATTTACTGACCCATCTATGTACTGTGCAGCTCTCATAAAAGGCGCAACAACAAATGGGGGCCAAGTAATTATTTCTATTAATCCATTTTTTCATTGTTTAACACAATTTTAGGTAATTGAAAATTGCCCAGTCAACAATATCTTAACCGATTCAACTTCGGGTGTGAGAAAAATTACAGGAGTTGAAACATCAAAAGGTAACATCAAAACAAGTTGTGTGGTGAATGCTGGAGGGGTTTGGGCAAAAAACATTGCTGATCTAGTGGGTCTGGATGTACCAATAGTACCCATGAAACATTCATATATTGTCACTGAAAGTATACCAGAAGTGAAAAACACGCCCAATATTCGGGACCATGATGGGTCTATATATCTCAGAATTCAAGGAGACAGTGTCAATCTAGGAGGCTACGAAAACAATCCGGAAATAATCAAAGACATGCCTTCCGATTTCCAATTCAGTTTGTTCGAATTGGATAAAAGTTTATTTGAAGTTCATTTAAAGAGTGCCATGGATATAGCCCCAGTTTTTGGGAATATAGGGATCAAGTCGGATGTTTGTGGGGCTGAAGCCTTCACACCTGACCATAAACCGATTTTGGGCGAGGATCCAAGACTTGCTGGTACGTAAATCCAACATTTAGAAAAATAAATAAATAAAAATTTCTAATTTAAGGTTATTTCTATTCTTGTGGTTACAATTCTTTGGGGATAAATCTGAGTGGAGGTTGTGCAGAACAGTTGGCAATATGGATTGCTAAAGGTCGTCCAGAAGAGCCGATGTTTACCTATGATATAAGAAGATTTACACCCAATCAACGATCGGATCGAGCTTGGGTCACGGAAACTAGTCAAGAATGTTATGCGAAAAATTATAGTATTGTTTTTCCTCATGATCAACCTTTAGCTGGCAGAAATCATAAAATTGGACCATTTCATGAGGTGAGAGGTCTGTTTATTATCGAAGATTATAATTGCATTTTCTAATGAAGTAATCTTGTTTGTATCCAAGAGGTCAAAGATAGATAATCATAACAAAAATAAACTTAATCTAAGGATTTTAAAGAGCATCGATGTTGCTAAATAATAATTTTTGGGAAAAAATAACATAGAAAATCATAAAGTAATAAAACTGGATGGTCAATACTGTCATTTGACTTTTTTTGACTAGAATAACTTACAATTGTTGAAAATCATAAATTTTTAGCTTTATTTGTGTTCAAAAAATATGTTTTTTTTATTTAAATCGATCTCGCAATTTTATAATAGTGATTGAATAAAGCTTCTAAAATAATTTGTCAAAATTTGACAAAAAAAAATCATCACATACTAGTTTACAGTCGACTCTTATGCTACGATTTCACAGTGTTTTATTTATTTATTTTCACGGTGTTTTATTTTAAAAAATATAACAAATTGAACAAAACGCATTTTTTGCGTAAACTATTTTACTCTCTGATTGATGAATGAAAATGTACTATAAAAATGTGATATGATTTTTCGAGGATAAAATATTCGGATTTATTTTAATTTGTCTTTGAATTTATTTATTTTTCTCGACAACGCCTGTGGAATTATCTACCATTACTACATATTTAAATAAAATTGAGTTTTTGTCGAAAAATATCAAAAATAAAAAAGAAATTTAAAATTAAACAATCAGTCGGGTACGAAATACCTAGGTTGCATCTAGGGTTAAATGCAAATTTCAATTCACTTATTGAAAAACTTTCAAACAAAATTTTCAAAATTTAACATATTTTTAATATTAACAACTGTTTGTTTTTTCCCTTTTTCTGTAATTACAAAAAATCCGCTAAAGGTTTGAAACTTCGATGATTTTCTCTATAATAAAATACTACTTTTTCAAAGCGACTTAGTAAATTGTTTATACAGGATGTTTACACATAGCAAGCATAAATATAACTACGAGTATACAGACAAATTTAATATTAGTAAAAGTTAAMGTGTTTAAAAAATGTTTAAGTTTTAAGTATGAAATTTTTTTCTATTTGATTTTGAGTTCTGTAATTTTTTATAGAAAACCCCCTATGATGCTGATATTTTTATATTATTATAGATATACCTTCTTTATAATGTTTTTAACATAATAGTTAAAGTTATATTTCATAAAGATTGTAGTTTACAGAATAAAAAAAAATTCTTGTAATTACACATAACCCGGGTGTTTAAACCTATTCAAACTTTGTGTGATTTTTTTTTTTAATTTTAAGAGCTATTTGTAAATTTTTGTAAAATGCACAAACAGACCAACAAGCAACACACCAGTTAAAAGTTAACAACTGAAAAAGGCTCAACAAAAAAAAAACGAAAATGCAACCTAGTGTGTGTACAAGTAGCAAACCTCTCTTTSTAAAAAACATTGTATAGATGTAAAAAGTGTAAATAAAGCGTTTGTTTATACAGGCTGTATTATAAAAAAAGCCCCAAACTATAATTTCATTACTTTTAAAGACGTTATAAAACTTATTTGTTAAGAGTTGAACAGTTTTTCCTTATCAATCGTTTGCTTGTCTTAGATAAATTAAAAAAAAAGGTTTAGTCGTTCCACAGCCTACTTTATGTAATTAATTTTTAAATTGCCTAGAATTAAAAGTTAGTGATAAACAATAGTAAGTGAGCTTGTTGAAAGACAATTTAATAAGGAACCCAAAAATAACTAAATATACAGAGTGTTACATTAAAAAATCTGAAATTAATGTCACTTCCGGTGAAACACGAAGGAGCATTGATTGAGCATCTATGTCAAACAATAGATGACAAAAAACTGTTCAACTTTGTTTAAGAAGTATTTTCATATCTTTAAAAATAATGAAGTTATGACTTGAGGCGTTTTTTATAATACAGCCTGTATAAACAATTATTATTTTAACAATAATACAACTTAATAATTCAAATCTCGGTGGTCAAAATAACGTCAAAATGCTCATGTTATGTAAATCTGTTGGTTGAAACAATCCTAGGGTTAAAAAACACTTGCAGTGTAGTATATGATGGATGGATAGAAAATGCTTTTATTTTTTTAATACTCGCTGCACTCGTTCTACAATTTTTTTTTACCGTTTTCTGCAAAATAAACAACAGATATACAGACTGTCTACTAAAAGTAGGTATATTTTAATTTTATATTAAAAACAAGAATTAATATTCGTAATCACATAAACATTAGCTTTTACCATAAAAAACTCGTTTTTCTCTGAATATTTTGTGCACTATTGTCACTCACTTAGCGAAAAATGGCGTATATTCTTGAATTTTGAAATGGACCATTTGTAAAAATTTCTTTAGTGTTGAAGTTTAGAAGGACAATAGAAATAATACAAACTATTATTTTTCTGCAGCGAATGAAATTAATTAATATAGGTGCGCCAGAACTCGCACTCCAAAGAAAAAAAAAATGACATGTATGATAAGATACCAGGAACATGGAAAAAATATAAAAAGAATTCTAACTATAAAAATTTCGAAATTATGAGAATTTAAATTTTACATTTTGACTATTTATTATTTATGTTGGAAAAATAATTTTCCAAGTTTTTTTTTGCTACAAGCTGTTAGAAGAGGAAACAAGGAAGCTGTATCCTAAATTGTAACTCTATTTAATGTTATTTGTGGCTTTTATTGGCAAAATTTTTGTACCTTTACTAAATAATTATAAAAAAAACATATATCGGGCGATCACGATAATTTGTAATCGAGTCATCCTTGGATCTGAAAACGTATGTCTGTAAAATGTCATGTAAAATGACAAGTCGAAGTGTAAAATGGATGATCAAAGAGGTGATGATTATAATAACTAAATTTATAATTTACCTTCAAAAAAGAGCGGTCCTACTCGTATTATTATACGTCGGCGACTAATTCCAGCCCATTTGTCCCTTTTACCTTTTGACTTGTCATTTTATTTGACGTTTCACGTGCAGTTAGACATACGTTCTCGGATGCAAAGATGACTCGATTACAAATTATCTTGATCGCTCGATACAAGATCATTAGTATCATKAAATAGGCATAAAAAATGTCAAATGTCAAATAATAAATGTCAAATTTTTTTGACAAATAGAATTTTTTAAACATTTTTTCCATGTTCCTGGTAACTTATTATCTTACTTGAAATTTTTCTCAGAGGCACGAGTTCTGACACACCCGTACTTAATCGCAAACGAGAGGTACATTGTAGATCATCAGCATTTTGCACTACTAACTGCACTAATTACAATAGTAAGCACTTTCAAAAATCTCAACACAAATTCTGATACTGACGCCTTACGTTTGTTTCGATTTCATTATACTTGCAAGGCATCTTGGTTATTTTGTTCATTTACTTGATACTCTGTAGCTTAGCTAAAATACGTTTGATTCCGTATTTTGAAATAATTTGCAAAAATCCCATATTTGCAGGCTTTAGTGGCCAGTGGTGCCGTAATGGAACAAGCCCAAGGTTGGGAGCGGCCCGGGTACTTCGTTAAAGACAGGACAGCCCCTGTGCGGGGTTACGACTGGTACGGCTACTACGACCACGTCGACAATCCCGACAAAAGATATGAACAAGAGTTGGAAGGAGAGTACACTTTTGGCTTTTCCAAACATCACGACTTGGTAACTAATTCACTTAAAAATTGTTTTGTATTAACATTTTTGTCCAGATTGGAGAAGAAGCCAACGCGGCAAGAAACAATGTTGCACTTTTCGACCTCTCCTACTTCACCAAAATGTACTTAACAGGTCCTGATGCTGAAAAAGCCGCCGACTGGATTTTTACTGCCGACACTGACAAAGAACCAGGACGAGTCGTCTACACTTGCTCTCTGAACAGTAAAGGAGGGGTTGAAGCCGATGTCACAGTCACAGCGTTAGAAGAAGGCGTCGGTACTCTCGTTGGCCCTATTTTAAAGGGCAAAGGGTACTACATCGTCGCTGGGGGCGCGTCCGGTTATCAAACAGTGTCCCACTTTAAAAAAGAAATAACCAAAAAGAATTTCAAAGCGCTCATTAGTGATATTACCGATAAATTAGGTGTACTTTCAATCCAAGGACCCAAAAGTCGAGAACTTTTGCAATCAATCACCGAAACTCCAATCACCGACGAAAAGTTTCCTCCGGGGATGTCGCACATTATTCAAGTCAATGGTCACGTCTGTCGTGCGATGAGAGTCAGTTTTATTGGTGAATTAGGTTACGAATTGCACATTCCTGTGGCGTCTTGTGTCGCCGTTTTCAATAAAGTGGTCGACGCTGGTCGAGGTTTCGATTTAAAACATGCCGGTTTTCGCGCTTTGTACTCTCTTAGTCTCGAAAAGGGTTACCATTTGTGGAACCACGATCTTAGGATTGATGACAATCCAGTCGAAGCGAATTTGCAAGGGATCTGTCGTAAAGATGGGCAGTATTTGGGTAAACAACATGTACAAAAAATGAAAGAAGATGGAGTGAAGAAAAGAAGGGTTTTCTTTACATTGGAGGATCAGGTTGCTCTTTACGGATTGGAGACTATATGGAGAGATGATACTATTGTGGGGTATTTGAGAAGGGGAGATTATGGGTATAACCTTGACTGTAGTATTGGAATTGGATACATTGAACATCCGAAAGGGCAAGTGGTTACCGATGAGTTTTTGAAAAGTGGGAATTATCAAATTGAAGTTTTGGATAAGAGGTATCCAGCGACTGTGTTTTTGAAGAGTCCTTTCGATCCGAAAAGTCAGAGATTGTTAGGACAGTATGACCAGCAGTTCGAGGAACAGTCGCATTTCGAAGATTGATATTTCAGGCTTTTTGTTAATGTTAAATGATTTTTAATTTTAAAAATAGACATTTTTTTATAATTTACCCCTTTCACTTATTGTTATTAAATAAACAGCTGTTTCTAAGCCCTTACGAATCATGAAGGAAACGTATTTTGGGTCAGTTTCACCATTTTTATTTTATCTGAAACTATACTGTTTGTGGCAACAAGAGGATTAACTTTCTTTTGTAAACTGACTTTAAGATAATGTTTGTAGGAAAAAGATTATTTAGTTTGGAATAATTTTAATTACATTAAAAAAACAGAATAAGATTTGCTAAAAAATAAATTATAAAGGTGACAGCGGCCAACCGGGAAATTCCCGGCCCCATCTGTCATTGAGAGAAAATGGAGTTAAAAACAAATCACGATTTTTGGGTGTTTTTGAGGAATTTGTTCAAATCAAGCTTCTTATGAAAATTAAATAAAAAAAAATGTAAGCTACAATGTTTCAAATAGTGAACTACTAATACCTACAGAGTGACCCAGGGGTTCGTGCACGCATTACAACTTTTTTTCAATCCAAGTTATCAACATGTTTTTTTTTTAAACGATAGATCCAACAATGAGGCACATTATAAAAATATTTCTATTCATATACAGAATGTCCCAAATAAGATACACAACTAAGTTTCATAAATTTTACAAAGTAGACCCCATAAATCCTATACATATCGACAAAAATAAATAATAAAAAATGCCATGCAACGATGCAATAAAATATAGTGTTGTATTTGAAAAATTCGAGTTATTGCTAATTGATGGAACACCGACTCTGAGTTTGCCTTTATCTTAGAGGACGCGCTAAAGCTTAAGGAATCAACTGGAAAAAAGTTGGTTAAATTATCTTGAATAATTTTGAAGTTATGAATTTTTTTGTGGGTCTATGTACGATGTAATTTTGACACATAAATTGGCATAAGTCAAAAACTATTTCAGGTAAGTCTAAGAAACTAAGGTGCGTTATATTGACAATTTAGTGGCGAATCCAGAACTGTAATAAAAAATTGGGGTTTTCATTTAAAAAAACAGAACTTTGTTGTGTATCTTATTTGAGACATCCTGTATATGTATAGAAATATTTTTAAAATGTGCCTCATTGTTGGATCTATCTTTAAAAAAAAATCATGTCGATGTTGAGCATGCACACACCCCTGGGTCCCCCCCCCCCTGGCCTTCTTTAGATAAAATAACCCATAAGAAATATAAACGAATGGTATTTTCGTGTCGGTATTAACATACCCGAGGCTTGCTACCAATTTAACATAACGTGAAAAACACAACATTTTGTTTATTCTTAGTTTGTGTTTAGGTTTAGGATCTACAAAAAGTCCAAACTAACGCTCGAAAAATGTTAAATCCAGAATTCTCTAGTTGCTGCATATTTTAATGACTTCAAAATTTAGAAAATTAATATTTAAACCGTAAGGTATGAAAAGAAGAAAGTTAGGGTACGAATAACATTTCAGTAAAAAAAGATTGAATACTTTTATACATTTACGAGAAGAATATGAACTACAATCGTGTTATTTAACAATTTTTTAAACATCGTATCCCACAATGTGACGTTTACCAATACATTCCCCTACGTAAAACCAGCACAATACTTCAATTGTAACAAGTGTGTTTAACCATGCCTCTTTGACAGGGGTTTCCTTCCAGCGCCCTGTCCTTGCTCCATTGACCAATCGACTTATACCATTGCGAATTTCGGGGATATCTCCAAGAGTTGGGGGTGTCAGCTCCACTTTTGCGTACTTCACAAATGTCTCAAGACGTGGTTTTGCCTCTGCTGCCAGTCCTACAGCAAAAAAAAATTATAATACTCTTAAACTAGTCTCAATTACGTAATCGACAAAAATCAAATATACAAGAAAAATTGTAGCAAATGCTTACTTGCGGCCAAAACTGGAGCCTGTGCTATTAATTTAGACATCTTACGTTGTTTTAATTGAAAGAAAGGCTGCAAAAACCGTCTGAATTGGGGGCCCTTTGGTCTAGATAGTGACAGTTGACAGCCGATCACAGTGTGGCCAATGTCACTAACCAAAAGAAACTACAAATAAATATAGCATTAAATGTAAAAATTAGCTTTCCATCGTGTTAAATTTTAAGATATTTTCATGCAATTCAAAAAATAGTTATTTAAGATTTTGTTATATTCGCGTTTTTTTTTTTAATTGACCCGACCACAGCGCCCTCTACAGTGTCCTCAATTTGACCTTGAGAGTTTATGTGAGTCGCATTTTTTTGTTAAAAAAGTATTAAACCAGACATTCCTTCCAATTTTATTAAATTGGGTAAGTATTGCTATTATTATACGTATAATTATTGTTGATAAGGCTTTTAAAATATTGAAATGACAATTAAAAAAAAATATGACTTAACCTCACTTTTCGATTGATACCGGGATCTGACAAATTAAAAATTACAGACCTTGGCCTCTACCCCTCCTTGTATTTAATTTATAGTAGTGATAAACTCTTGCTTAGTCACTTCTCTACCTGCAAACCATTCGACTTTTTCTAGAACAAAATGCCGACAAAAGCAGTGTGTGTCCTAAATGGTGAAGTCAAGGGGACCATTTTCTTCACCCAGGAGAATGGTAAATCTCCTGTGAAAGTCACTGGCGAAGTGACTGGACTCAAGAAAGGCTTGCATGGATTCCACATCCACGAGTTTGGGGATAATACCAATGGATGCATTTCGGCTGGAGCTCATTTCAACCCCCATGGTAAGGACCACGGCGGTCCGACCCACGACGTGCGCCATGTAGGAGACTTGGGGAATGTTGAAGCCGGAGGTGATGGAGTTGCCAAAGTTAACATTACTGACAAGATTATCTCTTTGGAGGGAGAGCATAGCATCATTGGACGCACTTTGGTGGTTCATGCTGATCCCGATGATTTGGGACAAGGAGGACACGAATTGAGCAAAACCACTGGAAATGCTGGCGCTCGTTTGGCTTGTGGAGTTGTTGGTATTACCAAAGCTTAAGAATTGGTGTTTTTTTGGGGTAAAATCATTAATGTTGGCTTTAATTTCATGTTAAATACATAATTTCTGTAGTAGATGGTGAAAGAATAAAACATTTTAAGTTTTTACTTTTTTGTATCGTATTATTCCATACACAAACTTATACAGGGCGCGAGTAGTCGCGCCCCAGAGAAAAATGCCATATAAGGTAAGATACCGAGAACATGGAAAAAATGTTAAAAAAATTATCTATAAAAATTTCGAAGTTATGAGGGTTTAAAGTTTTGCACTTTGACTATTTACTTCTGTTGGAAAAATAATTTTCCAAGTTTTTTTGCTATAAGCTATTAAAAGAGGAAACAAGGAAGTTGTATCCTAAATTGTAACTCTGTTCAATGTTATTTGTGGCTTTTATTTGCAAAATTTTTGTACATTTACTAAATCCTGGTACCTTACTTGAAAATTTTCTCTGGGGCGCGAGTTCTGGCGCACCTTTATAGTCGTTTTTAACGAGTTTATGTAAATTTGAAAAAAGCAGCATTTTCAACAACATATTCAGTAGAAGCTTTAATGACAAGATACAAAAACTCTTCAAAATGTTAAATGTGTTTTTGTGTGTAAATGAGACCTTCATTGTGAAACAATATAACCTGAAGAGAAAAACAACTAAAAATTATAGGACAAAAGCAACGGCTTTTGCAACTCCATGGCAGTTTAAATAATCTTAGTGAATAATTTTTTTGAGTTTTACTCAAATGTAGTAACATGACGAAAATTCACAAAACACCAACAATTATGACAAATAGTTTATTAAATATATGCCATATCCATAAACATTTTACAACTTGAGTTTAGTTCTGCGCCAGTGACGCCTCTTAGCGTTGTACCTGAAAAAAAAAAAGATTAATCAGATACTTTATTACTAAAGAACGTCATTAAAAACTATCTAATATCCAATATTTCCCCGTGCAAGTATTTTTAAGGTACTTTTTTGTTACCTACTCTATTATTTTATCCAATTGCGCCAAAATTACATGGTTATTCAAAAACAAATGAACGTTTTTCATATGGTTATAGACGTTTTTAACAAATGAACTAAATTACATTTAAATTAATGAACTTTGTGCATTTTATTACAATACCTACAAGGTGTTTAAGTGCCACTTTAATAAATTAGAGTTTGAACTCTTGTAAACCTTAAAAACTAAAAAGTGGTCAACATAACTAAACCGAACATGTCAGAGAGTAATTATTGTAATACACAGATATTGTAACAAGTGGGTATTATTTAAAATATTATGTTGTTTATACCGTGCGATCAAATAAAAAATAAATTAGAGTAGGCGTCGATTCAATTCTACGGTTAGCAACACATTGGCAAGGAATTTGGGCTGGAAATTTTCCACACAAACTGAAAGTGAAAATTCCCATAAACCCTTTTCCTCTTGTACAACAATAAAAATTTTCTGCTCTAAAGTGAACATTATTTCGCTCAAAAAGAATAAAACGCAAACTTGTCAGTTTACGCTGACATTTGATGTCAAAAATCAGGTTGGCCATCTGAAGGACAGACATTAATCACCGCCTATATTCGTGTTCATATTAATGTGCATCGAAGTAGTCGTTGAAAGGTGGCAACCATGCAAAAATTCAAACAATTCTAGCCTTAATCTTACCTAAAAATTATTTTTTCACATAAATGTGTACCCCAGGTAGCAAAAAATAATTAAAAATTAACAATATAATTAACACAGGGCAGCAAACATAAAAAAATTGGCATTATTAATGTGATTAGATTTGTTCTGGATGACATTAATGACACTTTTTGTGTGAACCGGTCTTTAAATTAAAGATGCATTTAGACTTGGACAACCTACTTGATGCACAATAATATGAAAAAGAGTATACTCGTAATTTATTTATTTTTTTTGATCGGACGGTACATAACCTTAAATATTACATAAAAATTTATGAAACTTAATTACATAAAATATTGCGTTTTTATGGTATTATCCTAATAAGAAAAACTTACCTAATTGTATTTCCTGTCCTCATACGGACCCATTGAGGAATAGGCCTGTTTTGTTTAAGCTTCTTGGCAAGCTTCCGCTTTATTATGAATGTTTTGTGAGCAGACTGAAAAATACAAAGAAATAATTAAGTCCAATGACTTTTAAAATAGATTTTGAGTAAAATACGTACAAAATATCAACGGATGAACTAAATATAATTAAAAAACTTACCATTTTTGCTCCTTCTTCGACCAACACTTGACAGTTGACAAGAAAGAAAGAAAAAGGTTGGTATCATTGCCTTTTTGGAGGAAAACGTAGCACCAACATAAATTAGAAAAATTAAAAAATTGTTGTTTTTGAAAATAAAACAACTATTCTAGAATACCTTTGTTTTTAAACTTGTTTAATAAATGTATAAAATGCTACGGCAATAATCTTGATATGTATTTTTAAATTCATGTTTTTTTTAGGTTAAGTTTCTGTCACTTTGACAAGACAACAAAACAACAATGCATGAAGCTTATCAAGTTCATTCTCTTCTAAAATTGACTTCTCAAATTGAAGCAATAACTGCTTACGGTTTGTATCAATAATTTTAACAACCTAAATGATTTCGCCATTGTAGATGAAAATCTCTTGGTGGGCACCCGACAAGGACACCTTTTTATGTATAGTCTGGTTCAAAACGATGAAAAATGCGAAGTGCAATTGATGAGATATAACAAATCATTCAGTAAAAAGGCCGTTCAACAATTGGAAGTAATTCCCGAATATCATTTGTTGATAAGCCTAACGGGTGGGTAATCAAAATTATAGGACTTTGAAATAGTAAAATGTGTTTCATCAATTTTAGATAACTTAATACAGTTACACGACATCAATGCAATTAATTTCACAACAGTACATCAAGTGCAGAAATCTAAGGGGGCGACAATTTTTGCAGTTAATATTCAAAAGCCGACTTCTTTAACTGGGGTGACTAGTACTCTAGTTAGATTAGCTGTAGCTGTTAAAAGAAAGCTCCAGTTATATTACCTTAAAAACAATGAATTCTTCCAACTTATGGAAGATATTAGTTTGGCTGAAGTCCCAAAATCAATGGTTTGGTGTGAGGAAACTATCTGTGTGGGGTATAGGGGCGAATATGCTTTAATTGAGGTTATTATGCAGTTTTGTTTACAAAGAAATTAAAGACAACACAATTTTAGTTGAATGGACAACAAACTGACCTTTTCCCAACCAGTAGTAGTCGCTCTAGTGAGCCTTGTATTGTCAAGGCTTCAGATAAAACGTTTGCATTATGTAGAGAATCGCAGACTGTCTTAGTGAACACCAAAGGCCAGACGGAGAAAACAAAGGCCTTGCGATGGTCAGATGTCCCATTAACGTTGGCATGGGATGAACCATTTGCCCTTGGAGTTCTCCCAGAATGTATAGAAGTCCAAACTTTGGAACCATGTGGTTTGGTTCAGACTTTACAAGACCTTTCTAAAGTCCGGTTTATTATAACATGTCAACAGGGTTTACTCTATGCAGCATCTGTTAGTCAAGTTTGGTGTATTCGTGCTGTTGATGTAGCAAAACAGAGAAAAGTTTTGTTGGAATCGAAACAGTTTCAATTGGCTTTGAAATTGACTGTAGGCTGATTATTAATCACTCCTGTAGTAATAATTAAAATTTTTGTTTATAGGAAATATCAAATGAAAATGAGGAAGATAAGAAGGAGAAAATTCATCAAATTCAAACTTTATTGGCTTATGATTTGTTTGTCAATAAGCAATTTCGTGAAAGTATGAAAGAATTTTTAAAACTTGAAACTGATCCATATGATGTGATTCGATTGTTTCCTGATTTACTTCCTCAACAGACAGTTTCTACAGACTATCCTGAACCTCCAAAAGATTTGACTGAAAAAGAACTGGAAACGGGATTGTTGGCACTCATTGATTATTTAACTGAAATGAGATATCGTCTTCAATCAGAAACACAGGTAATACAGGGCGTTAAAAAAAGATTGCAAAATATTTCAGGAGGTAATAGTATGGACCAAAACAAACAAAAAAGTCTTAATACATATAGTGTGCGCCAGAACTCGCGCCCCAGACAAAAATGACATATAAGGTAAGATGCAAGGAACACGGAAAAAATGTTAAAAAAGATTTTTAAATAAAAATTTCGAAGTTATGAGAGTTTAAAATTTACTCCTTGACTATTTATTTCTGTTAAAAAAAAAAYTTACTTTTACTCAATAATTGTAAAAAAACATACAAGATTATCAGTATCATTAAATAGACATCAAAAATATCAAATGTCAAAAAATATGTGTCAAAATCATTTGACAGAGAATTTTTTAAACATTTTTTTCATGTACCTTGTAACTTATTTTACTTGAAATTTTTCTCTGGCGCACCCTGTATGAGCGCGGAAAAAAACGGTTTCGGATTGAGAAAAAATTAAATAAACAATTTAAAGAACAAAAAAATAAAAACGGGAAAACCAAATAAAAAACTATATGTCGAAAAAAACTAAAGAAAATGAAGATGATGATGAAGGGAAGAAGATTGGCAGTTTCTTAAATTTTATTCTTTTTTGGTAATACGTCTTAAATAGTTTGCGAAAAAAGCCACACTTTATTTCTAAAAAAAATTACATTTCATTGACAACTTGTATTTCTAGAGTTTGTATAACTTTCCGTGTAACAATCGGATTGACTTCATCTTCATTCACACCTTCACACTCTTCAAATTCATCCATATTCTCCTCTTCTTCTTTTTCTTCAACTTGCTTTATCAAATTTCCCTTTTTGCCACTTGTTTTAGCAAAAAACTCCCCAATACTATCACAGAACTCCGCGATATCTTTCCTCAAACTAGCTATAGACTTTGCTAACAATCCACACTCATTCATTGTGTCTTCAAATCTTTGGATTAGATATAACTTTCATATCATCCCCACTTTCGTTTCGTTCCTCTTCATCTTTCTTCATTTCTTGAATCAATTCGTACAACTCATCTTCTTCATCCACTTCGATTCTTCTTCTTCTGATCGGGAGCAAAATCTTTGTATTTTCTTCTTTTATTTTCAAATTTCAGTCGAGAATCTCTATATTCTTGCCCTGGATTGGCTCTGTCCAACTCTTCTACGTAAGGAGGCAAATGTTGTAAAGCTCTTACGTTTTTTTTTAGTTTTTAGAAATGTGGTCTGGTATGCAATGTATTTTTTTGTCTTATTACAATGTAAAACAAAAAAATAGTTGATTTTGTGTAATTTTGACACCAAAATTAACCTAATTTGAGTCCACTTGAAATTTCTTATTTAGTGTTTTACTTACATTTCGACCTATGATTAGTAGTACCATTATTATTATGTTAAAAAAGAAAAAATTCCTTGTTTAGTTAATTTTGACACCAAGAAAAGATTTACGTCCACTTGAAATGTTTTAGTTATACGTATTATGGCCTATTGTAATTATCGTGATTATTATTAAGGACTAATAATTTTAAATGAAAAAATGGGTTTTATGTGCTTTGCCACCGACTTAACCAATTTTGAGTCCACTTGAAGTGTTTTGGATTAAATAAAAACTTGAAAACTTATTCTGAAGAAATTGAGAAGAGTTATTTTAATAAAAATGAGAAATAGAACAGTGATTTTTGGAAATAATATACGGAGGTAGAATCAAAAAATTGAAAAAAAGAAAACAATCCGACAACTGAAAAAATAAAGAAAAAAACTTATTATTTATGTGGTTGAAACAAAACAATTTAACAATTGGGAAAAGATATAACAAAAAAAAATTGAGAACAAAAAATAAAAACGATACAAGAAAATCAGATAAAAAACTACGAATGTCGAAAAAAAAGCTGAAGAAGGTGAACATAATGAAAAAGATAAAGAAATTCGGAAGATCTACTTGACAATTGCAAATTCAATTTTTTTTTGTTTATACTTCTTACTTCATGTTGGAAAGCTTTTATGCTATTTTTCTTTTTTTTAATATTCTTACGAATTTCTAAGGTTTTTAGAATTCTGGTGTGATGTTTTAATATGAATTACGATGTAAAACAAGACAGAAATGCAAAAGTCTTAATAAACTTGGGTCTGCAAAGTAACGATTTTGGAGATATCGAAGATACATTTATTTGCAATCTGTTCCAACAAAAAAAGAGAAGCTTCTAGTGAAAATTCTAAAAATTCGAAATCCGGAACCTTTTCTTGGCCTACCCATGTTTATTAAAACTTTTTTTTTGTTTATTTTGGTCCATACTATTACCTCCTTAAATATTTTACATTCTTTTTTTAACACCCTGTATATTAGGTTTTTAGGATAAGTTTTAAATGGATACATTGTAAAGTGAGTAGTTATCAAACTACCATAACTTTTTTGTTTATCGTTAATTTTTTATTTACATATTTAATATTATTTGAAATCTTCTTGAAAGTCAAAGTAACGGAATTTACACTAGCAAGTAGACAAAACGATGATATCTGATTTGTACAGGGTGTTCCAAGTTTTAGGGCCGGCGTAAAAATAAATATTTCCAGTTGATTAAAAAAGAATTTTGATAGTGTAAACGGTAGAGAATTACATACACTTTAATTTGATATTTTGCACAAAATTTTTAGCGTATGACAGTGAGACCTTAAAAATTAAATTTGGAGGAAAAAAATTTCAAGGTCCGCAATGACATTTATGACGTACCCGGACTCTATTGTAGCAGCACATCATCCCTAACTTGACCATAAATTACCAGAATTCGCAATTTTCTGTTTTAAAATGTTAATTACTTAAAATCTATCAGTTTTTACATTATTCAATTTTCACAGTTACCATTAGAAAAAAATAAGGAATTTTATCATGTAGAAAAGATTCAAGTTAATAAAAAAAAAATTTCTTTGGTTTTTAGGGTCTCACTGATATACCCTAAAAATTTTAAACAATATCAAAGCATCAAATTGAAGTCTATCGTTTGCACTAGCAAAAAWTTTTTAAATCAATTAGAAATCTTTATTTTTGCGCGGGCCTTAAAACTTGGGACACCCTGTACAATTTTGGAGATAAATTATCCCGGCGCATCCTTTATTTTATGGCAATTTTTCAATATAAAAAAATTGTAAACCATAAAATGAAATGAAATATTTTTTTATTTTTACCAAAAATTTCTCTGCTTTTAGGCGAACTTGAATGCAAGAGGTAATTTAAACGAAAAGCCAAATTTCAGCAAATCCACGCAACAGCTTTTACAAATCATCGACACAACTCTACTCAAATGTTATTTACAAACCAACGACGCACTAGTTGCTCCTTTACTACGCCTCAATCATTGTCATTTGGGCGAAACTGAAAAAATCCTCAAGAAAATGGGAAAACACAATGAACTTATCATTTTATACCAGACAAAAGGTCAACACAGACGCGCATTAGAACTGTTGCAAGAGGAGGCCGGAGTCGAACGCACCATTGCTTACCTCCAACACTTGGGAGCCGACAACATGGGACTCATTATTGAGTTTTCCGATTGGGTGTTRACAGCTTCACCTGAAGAAGGTTTAAAGGTGAAATTTTTACATTGTTTGAGCTTTTATTGAAATTTTGACACTTTAAGATATTTACGGAAGATTTAGCGGAAGTTGAGGCCTTGCCTCGGCCACGTGTCTTGGATTTTCTTTTACGTTCGCATAGTTGTGTTGTTATTCCGTATCTTGAACACGTGGTGCATGTTTGGGAGGACACCAATCCACTTTTTCACAATGCACTAGTGCACCAATATCGAGAAAAAGCGATAAGTGAGGGAGCTGCAGCTGAACACACTCGTAAAAAATTGCTCGATTTTCTTAAGAAAAGTTCACACTATACTGCGGATACTGTTCTTGGACATTTCCCCACTGACAGTTTACTAGAAGAGAGAGCTATAATATTGGGACGTTTGGGGAAACACGAACAATCATTGGCTATTTACGTTCGAGCTTTAGGCGACGTATCAAAAGCTGTGGAATATGCCCAAAAAATCTACGAGTCAAACACACCAGGATGTCAAAGTGTAATTAATAACACAGGCGACAAAAAAAAAGTCATGTCGTGACAACTTGACAAATTTTATATCATTTTGTTCGCCGCAGTGAGACAAATCGAATGCACTTAAAAATATTTCAAAAAGTCCACACACTTTGAACTAAATAATTTTTTTCTAATTTAAATGAATCTAAAATACTTTAAATTTAAAAAATCATTACGCAATAACTATTAGGCCGATTTCCTTCAAGCAAAGACCATTCTAAAGGGATGGACTTGCACTTTAGAATGATATGCAATTTGAAATTGAATATTGGCAAATTTTTCTTCGAACAGTGTTCGAATAAGTTCGAAGTACTTAAATCGAAGTAATCTAAGAAAAATCCTACGACTAATTTTTTTTTCTTTGTCACCATCGTGTAGAGCATCTTATTATTAGTAAGATTCCAATTTTTTAAAATAATATACAAAGTTGTTTTTAAGATGTGATTTTTTTTAAGTTAAAGTTTGCTATTCAGGTATTGCGCCATATAGGAGAAATGCATGTTAATCTTACTTAAAATTGCATTTTTGTAAAAGTATTTGTTTTAAGACTCTTCTTTTGCTTAAAAATGGTCAATTGCACCTTCTTTGTTCTAACTAGAATAAACAAAAACTATTTGTTTACTTAAAACAAACAAAGAGTACCTGCGTACTAATTAAAGCAAATAAAGAGTTTTTTTGTTCTAAAAATGATCACTGATCATTGAGCAAAAAGGATTTAGAAGTTTAAAGCAGTATCTTTAAATATAAGAGCAAATCTTTTTCAAATTAAATCACTTTCCATTCAGATTCCAACTTGTTGACTTTGTTCTAGCTTTATAAACTTTTTTTGAAAATGTTCTCAGCAAATGCTTTTTCATCACTTTCTACTGATGTTGAATGCAATAAGTCAGTTGCTTCGTGTGCAACTGTTATCACAACAACTACTACCTACAAACTAACTGAAGCTAATCGTAGAAAGTACCAACAAAATAAATCAGATGACTTATTGCATTTAACATCATTCGAAAGTGATGAGAAAGCATTTGCCCAGAACATTTTCAAAAAAAGTTCAGAAAGCTAGAACAAAGTGAACAAGTCGAAATCTGAATGAAAAGTGATTTGATTTGAAAAAGATTTGCCCTTATATTTAAGACTCGTGTCTTAAACTTAGGAGCCTCTTTGCTCAATGATCAGTGATCATTTTTAGAACAAAAAACTCTTTATTTGCTTTAACTAGTACGCTCTTTGTTTGTTTTAAGTAAAACAGTTTTTGTTTATTCTAATTAGAACAAAGAAGGTGCAATTGACCATTTTTAAGCAAAAGAAGAGTCTTAAATCAAATACTTTTATAAAAATGCAATTTTAAGTAAGATTAACATGCATTTCTCCTATATGGAGCAATGCTTGATTAGCAAACCTTAACTTCAAAAAATCATATCTTGAAAACTACTCGGTATATTCTTTTAAAAATTTGGATTACAACTAATAAAGACACGATAATAATGATGAAAAAATAATTTACTCGTAGGGTTTTTCTTAGATTACTTCGATTTACTTCGAAGTTTGCCAATATTCAATTTCAAATTTTATATCATTCTAAAAGACAAGGCCACCCCTTTAGAAAAGTCTTTATTTGAAGGAAATCGGCCTAATAGTTATTGCGTAATGATTTGTTAAAGTTAAAGTATTTTAAATTCATTTAAAGTAGAAAAAAATTATTTAGTTCAAAGTGTGTGGACTTTTTGAATTTTTTTAGTGCATTTGATTTGTCTCACTAAGACAAACAAAATAATATAAAACTTGTCAAGTTATCACGACATGACTTTGTTTTTGTCGCCCTGTGTAATCACTTCAAAAACAATTTATTTTTGATTGATTTCTTTGTATTTAGGTGTATCCAAATTTGATCAAGTTGGTGTTGAATCCCGACAGTTGTCCTCTAGCTTTACCAGGGTTGACTCTATCGCCAAAGACGGCACAACCCGACTTAGAGTTGGCTTTGGATCTTTTGAAAGAGCACGCTTTCAAGATGGACCCTCTTGAAGTACTTTCTATTTTACCAGATAACGTACCAGTTACTAGAATCCATAAATTCCTTCTTGTTGCTTTGCAAAAAGCCGTTAAAGAAAGACGCAGAGTTCAACTTTTGAAAGGTTTGCTCTATGCGGAACACTTGCAGTGTCAAGAAATGAGACTGCATTTGCAAAGTCAACATGTATTGGTTACCGAGTTGAATGTGTGTCCTGTTTGTAAGAAAAGATTTGGAAATCAGAGGTGGGTTTTTGGTTGGTTGAATTGTTTACAAATTGTTTGGTTTTAGTGCTTTAGTGCGGTACCCTAATGGCGATGTGGTTCATTATTCGTGTCAAGAAAAAAGGCTGTGAAAGCATTACCTTCAAGTACTGTCGTAAAATGTGTAATTAATTGACTTTTTCTTGTTTCTCCAAAAATGTAAATGATAATTATATAAAAGTATAAAGGATTCCTGATTAATTTATGTGATTTCGGTTTTTAAGTGTCTACTCATCTAAATAGCATTTATTTTTTTTAATATTTCTGTTTTTTTCAGCAAAAATATCACTTTTTTAAACGTTCCCATATTTTCTAATTAAAAAAAACAATAACAGACATAAAGACACAAAAAAATACCGTCTTGGAGAAAATTTTACGAGTTTTGATTTTGTACAGTGGCGGCCCTCTACACTCTCTAAGGAACATACAGGGTGATTCTTAAATAGACCGACAAAATTTTATCACAACTTCCCAAGGCTAAATAGAGACAAACTGTACACTTTTTACGTTTAYACCTTTTAGGGGTAAAACCCCCTTGATATGTGCCACTTACGGCGTTTATGAATTGAGTATATTTTCATCAAATTAAAACCATGGTTTCCACTACCTGTGCTAATACTATTTACGAATACATCAGTGGCGTACGCTTTACTTCAAAAATAACTGTAATAAATTTTATTTGGAGAACGGTTAAACAAAAAATTTTTTAAATATTTTTTCCAGCATGTACTCATTTGATACAACCAAGGATAAAATTTTGTCGGTCTATTTAAGAATCACCCTGTATCTTCCACATTTTTTTTTATATTGGATATTACATATTTTTATTTATATCTCGGTTTAAAACTTTACACACTTTGTAAAGCCAAATTCAAACAACTAAATTTTATGATTGTTATGACATTTGTCGAATTAAAGTTAAAAAAATGCGGTATTCTGAAGTGCTTGGCAATTGCTAGAGCAGAAGAAAGAATGTAGGTCAAACAGATTGCTCATCGGTGTAATAATAAAAAAAAATAAGAAAAATTGTAGTTTTGAAGTAATTTTATAAAATTCTGATCTAAATTGAATTATTCTGTTATGTTTTTTTTCGTAACACGCAGAATAGAGTTCGTTCCATAATTTTGGCATGTTCTATTTACGAATATAATTTTTATGGTATTTTTTTATCAAACACCTCTTAATTATTAGTCTATAATAACAATAAAAAAAACTCTTAAAATTCAAAATTGGAAGCACACTAAAATTTTGTGATTTTCCAATATTTTCGACGAATTTTTGTTTGGCTTAAAGAACGAATTTTGCAGAACATTGTAATTTAATTCAATAACATTTCTACTTTTGTCTTGTAAATGTTATACCTAAAAAACGAGAGCACTGTTTTTTTACTTTTTTTATATAGAGTTGTAGTCTCCAACAGAGACAAGATTAAGTTTTTACTTATTTCAGATTATTGCCCGTTCTTTTCTGAATTATCTACCACATTTTCCATAGTTTTAATTCTTGAGACATGAGAGATATAAACCTTCAAAATAGTATATTAAAGTACAAGTTGCACAAATCTGAAATTCCGAAACAAGCCGCGTAGCGGTGAGTTGAGGAACAAATGAGTACTTAAAGAACTTTCTACAACAAGTGTTTTATACTATTTTTTCTATTTATCATTTTATAAATTTTTCTAGAGAATTTAGCGACGATTGGCGACATTTATGTGGAATAATTTTAGGCGGCTGTGAAAAATAAAAATAATTCTTATTTTCACATTTGAAAATGAATTGTGAAAAAAGTCCGTCACTAAAATTAAATTAACGCCAACGACTTATTAAAGCACTCAAATGACGTCATTTGGGTGCTGGAATAGACTTATTCTAAACGCAAAATAGAAAAATCTGGTGTGAACATCACACGACTTTCCTTATCCAACTTATTTGGAAAACATCCTTACGACAATAATTTAGTGTTGGAAATCCGAGTAGTAAATCTTACTTAGTGCTTACGTTTGCGTTAGTGCCACCTGTCGGATTACCCGGGAAATAGATCATAGTTGTCGCGGGTTCGAGTCTGGGGTGCAGTTTTTTTTTAGTTCGTTACCCATTATTATTTTTATTTATCACATTTTACTGTTTAATAAGGTATATTTTATGATTCTAAATAATTTTTATCCCCATGAATTTATGGTATATTCAGCCGTATAATTTGCGGCTGAACGGTGCGACCGATTTTTACCAATTGTTTCGTGCTACGTCCCCTTGCTACAAGTAACTTACATACCAAATTTCAAGTTTCTAGCTCTTATCGTTTTCGAGATGTTTACAGACAGACACACACACGACCCAATGGCCCAAACCAATTTGTTTACTTTCCTTATCCTATAAGTGGGATAAGGAAAGTCGTGTGATGTTCACACCAGATTTTTTTGGTGTCTTGAAGCCATAATACGTCCAGAAATGTAAAAATATAGGTAAGTCAAATTTCAGCCGATTACAATACTTTCCTTAAGTATAGGATAAGGAAAGTAAAAAAGTATTACATTTCCAATTTCAAAGAATATTCGTATTAGGTAGACCAGATGTGTCAAAACGTCAAAATAGGCGCATGGAAGTTTCCAATAATTAACCGTTTTACTTGTTGTAATCCTTTATAGCCCAGTCAAATTAGACAAAAATAGGGAGATCGGTGGAAAAAAATCCTAGAGTTGGAATTTTTTTTAAACGCTTTCTTTACACTTGGGTAGACATATATCAAAAGTCCCCGAGGGTGGGGGCCGAGCTCGAGGAGGGGGAGGGGACTAAAGGTGTCTTTTTTTGGTTTTTTGCTTATATCTCGGAAACTATCACTCCTATTGATTTTTGCCTGCTTATGAAAATTAAAGTCTACAAAATTTCCTACAAAAATGGTCCTTTGTGTTTTTGGTGTAGGACTAACCATAAGCGAGTTAAAGGGCTGACAAAAAACATTATTTAAAAAAATGTGCTTTATCCGCGTTTAAAACAGAATTAATCTTGTGATTTGAAAAAACTGACAGTAAATTAAATTTATTGGGTGCAACACTTCATTAGAGAGTCTATAAAGTCTTCTGAAGCGTCCTCATATGCTGCATCTTCGTCTTCAACTTAAACATTGAAAACCGAATTACATTACTACATTACATTACATTACTACATTACATTACATTACATTACTACATTATTCAGTACAATATTAATAGATAGATGATTTAATATCGATGATTTGAATAAAACTTACAGTAAATTGGTTGTATTGGGTCCAACAGTTTATTAAAGTGTGTCAGGGGGGTTTATCAAGTCTTCCGGGTTCATCCTTATATGCTGAACTAGCATTTGCCTGCGACTTTGTCCGCGTGTATTTCTGATATAAAATGGGAAAAAGCCCGTTCAACAAACTATTCCATAGGCTTAGGTACTCTGTAAAGCTGGATAACTAGCTATGTTTTGTATGGGATTCAGCTATAGTAGTCTCGTTCTTCGCATGGGCTATGTTTATGGATAAATGTTAAATGTTGATTTTCATAAAGTGTCGTCTTAGTGCACTGCACTCTCAAAATTCGAAATTTCATGTTTCTAATTTTGTTTTTAAGCGTTTACACTCTACTTTATTTCGTTAAAACTTGAAAAGTGCACTTCTACACTCTCTAAGGATCATATTTTCAAAATTTTATGTTTCTATATTCCTTTAAATGTGTACACCGTTTCATTCCCTTAAAAACAAATTTTCGAAAAATCTGATTTTAGTGCCCCTTTATACCTCTAAAGAATTTTATGTTTATATCCTTGTTTAAACGTTTACCCCCATTTAACCCCCTTAGAGATTGATTCTCTCTTTCTTCCAAAATTTTTATTTATATCTCCGTTTAAATGTTTACACTCGAGTCACCTTTCAGGCAGACCAGCTTAGTTGGGAACTATACTAATGAAATGTGTTTCAAAGGGTTTTTAATGCAATTTTATGTAGACTCCAAACTTGAAAAGTCTACGGTTAGTCCTACGACAAAAATGAATAGGACCATTTTTGTAGAAAATTTTGATGCAGAAATAGACTTCTACAGAAAATTCTGCATAAATTACATAAACGATGAGTTTGTATTCATAGACCCTCGTGACTCCCCCCTCATTTAAGGAAGTATTGGATCCAGTAAATTCAATTTATTGTCAGTTTTTTTTCAAATTACAAGACTAATTTTGTTTTAAATGCGGATAAAGCACATTTTTTTAAATGATGTTTTTTGTCAGCCCTATAACTCGCTTATGGTTAGTCCCACAACAAAAATGCAAAGGACCATTTTTGTAGGAAATTTTGTAAGCTTTAATTTTGATAAGAAGATAAAAACCTATAGGAGTGATAGTTTTCGAGATATAAGCAAAAAACCAAAAAAAGACACCTTTCACCCCCTCCCCCTCCTCGAGCTCGCCCCCAACCTTCGGGGACTTTTGATATATGTCTACCCAAGTATAAAGAAAGCGTTTAAAAAAATTCCAACTCTCTAGGATTTTTTTCCACCGATTTGTTTAATTTGACTGGGCTATTAAAGTTCCAAGTTTTTCAGGTTTTTTGTTCAAAGACTTACTTTTTCAAAACTACTTTTTTACGTAGCCTTTCTGCACGAATATTTAGTAACATTAGAAAAGCAACGTCTTTTTCAATACTTTGTATCTCTGGGGCATCAGAACATAAAATTTCGAAACAAATTGGTCCTTATTCAGAAAAGAACGGGCAATAATCTGAAATAAGTAAAAATTTAATTTTGTCTCTGTTGCACACTACAGCTCGGTATAAAAAAAGTAAAAAAACAGTGCTCTCGTCTTTTAAGTATAACATTTACAAGAAAAACTAGAAATGTTATTCAATTAAATTACAATTATCTACAAAGTTTTTTCTTTAAGCCAAACAGAAATTCGTCGAAATCCGACAAAGAATAACAAAAATATTGCAATGTGAAAAATTGCATAATTTTAGGTGTCCGGTTAATTCTGGCGGCCAGTGTGTAAATTTTGACATTTTTGATTTCTATAGGAAACTATACTAATATCATTTTGCTAAGACCTACTAAAAATTTTATTACTTTTAAGTTAAATGCGGTATTGTTAAGAGTAAACCAGAGGGTAAACAAATCATAAATTAGTGGACCCACCCGGACCCTGAAACAGGTCAGTTTTGAATAGGACCGGATTATTTACTTTCTTTTTGTCTAAAATTCTTGAAATATTTTAATAGTTTTTGATGTAGTCAAGTATTTTAAGAAATTTAAAAAAGCCAGGTGGTTATTAACAAGTTATTATTAAATAAAGCAGATTTTTTTTTTAATAATAGCTTGGTAAAACTCTACCACTACTTTGGTTTTAAATACGGCCCTGTTGTGTAAGCAACACTTGCAAAGGAACGTGTGCCATTTATGGAGGGTTACAAATTCAAGCCATTGTTTGGTTAATTCCTTATAATGTGTCATAAAATTTTTAGTAGGTCTTAGCAAAATGATATTACTATATGTGAAAACGGATGTGGCTAGTAATTTATTTTCTGTAGTCTTAACAAAAAGTCCATAACTTGAAAATTATTAAATTTACGTATATGGAATGTTAATACAGATCAATGCACAATTAAATTCTCTTCTATTTAGTAAAATAAAAATTGGGGTATTTCATTTGGAAAATTTGAGTTATGGGTGGTATTTGAATTATTACAAAAGTAACCTTAAAATTTTAGGTTTTGTTAATTTTTTTTTCAAAATTTTAAATCATCCGAAGAAAAATCTAAACTTTCTCTTTCAAACGCCAAAAAAACGAATTCAAAATTTTAAAAAATAGCAGAGTTACCGATTTTTAAAGCAAAAGGTGCAGATCCAAAAAATTTTGAAAAACTCCAAATATTTCAAAAACGGCTAAATTTAAGTATAGGGAAAGCTGATGAAAACCCCCTTAAAATAACCCGATTAATCCAAAAACGCAGTAAAAAATATACCTTTTCATTTAAATTAAGAAAGTTGACCGACTTCCGGTATTACCGGAAGTGCTGCCATCTTGAAAATATTTTCATTTAGGATTATTCCAAACTTAATTAAAAATTAAACTGCCATTTAAACGGCAAGCCAAATGTGCTTTCGGTTAAACGTAGTAAGCTGTTACGCGATGCGCTGGTTACTAACAGTAAAAAGAAACTTTATTCCACTAGTGGATAAAGTGGTACTTTATACGCACCTAAAGTGTGGAATAAAGTCTCTTTATAGAGTGACTGTRGATAAAATATTTTTTGTAAAATTTAAAGACAAAGAAAATTTCGAAAAATTTTATTCATGATAAAACATCATATTTTTATAGTACTTTATCATTCATCAATTAGTTTTTCCAAAAAATAAATAGCTTAAGTAAAAAACGTTTGGTTCCATACTTTTTTATTCATCTGGTGTAAAAATTTATATTAACATGGTAACATTATAGAATAAAGAAGAATAGAAATAAATGTCATTTATTTTCGTAATACAAATATTGTCAACACTATTATTTTCAGTATAAAAAATTAATTAAAGAATATCAAAGGTAACAAATCCACTACAAAATGAAATAAACAAAATAAAAAAACGAGAAATAATCAAAACTCTGTCACAATAACATTGTCTTACAAATAAAAGAGTTTGTCATCCAATACAGTACTTGGTGTTTTCTTTATGTATTGCCCGACTAGCGCAGCCAACTTATGTGCATACAGACAAGGTGCAGGTACTCTAATTGTCCCAGACCAATTATAATACAAATGGCACAATTTATAAGCAAGTCTTTGTAAATGATCCGGCTTGATATTGCCTTCATCAAGTAGAACAACATAATGTGTAGGATTAACGGTACCTTGCCGCACCGATTGCGGAACCAAAAAGAAATCATAAAATTGTCGACGTGTAACCATAGTATCGACCACAGTACCCGAAGGTGGATTATCAAAAGTTGTCTCATTAACCATTCGAAATATTCGAGTATTGATTCGTTTTTGTACAACTACAAACGTTATTGTCGTATCGATGTTCAACTCTTTAATAACTTCCTGGAGCTGTGACACTTCATATTTCTTACAATGTTCCAACTGACCATCACCTAGTCCATCTCGAAAGACGATCACCTTGCTAGGAAACGATCCTTCTTTATCCTTTTTCTCTTGAAGCATTTTTCGAAACGGCATTTTAAAGAAATCCCCGATTTCTCCATCTTGGAACATAGCTTTGCTGTAATATTTGGTGAGAGAGCCGTTTATAGAACCCACAAAACCACAAACGGATTGATTGTTTGCACCATGATAGACATCAATTCCACAAACCATCCAACCACTGACGGGAATTTTAACACTCCACAAAGTGCCACCGAGTTTGCAGGTGATTTGCATCGCAATTTTGTGAATTATGGTTCGCACTTTTTGAGGATTCGACAGTGTTTTGCTTAAAATTACTTGACTGGCAACTGGGATATTCACACAACACATCTTCTTTATGATAGAATATCTGTCTGCACGAAGAGTTGGACAAATAAACACGGCCACCTAAAAATTAAATCAAAATGAACTATTTTTTTTAGAAAAAAAGTATCACAATTTCACACAGGGAGTCCCAGAGCTCTATATTTCTTCGATTACTCTGACAGTAAAGAAGATAACGAAATGCGGTGTCTTTTGGACGATAGACATTCATTTTTTCTATTTTCGTCATTATAAGTAATTGCTACAAGTATACAGGGTGCGCCAGAACTCGCGCCCCAGAGAAAAATGCTATATAATAAGGTAAGATACCAGGAACATGGAAAAATTGTTAAAAAAATTTTATCTATAAAAATTTTGAAGTTATGAGAGTTTAAATTTTGCACTTGACTCTAGTATTTATTTCTTTTGGAAAAATAATTCTCCAAGTTTTTTTAATACAGGCTATTAGAAGAGGAAACAAAGAAGCTGTATCCTAAATTGTAATTCTGTTTAATGTAATTTGTGGCTTTTATTGGCAAAAGTTTTGTACTTTTACTAAATAATTGTAAAAAAACATATACAAGATCATCAGTATTATTAAAAAGACATAAAAGAATGTCAAAAACTAAATGTCAAAATTTTTTGACAGATAGAATTTTTTAAACATTTTTTCCATGTTCCTGGTATCTTATCTTACTTGAAATTTTTCTCTGGGGCGCGAGTTCTGGTGCACCCTTTTATAGGATGACGCAACAAAGTACCATTTTAGAAAAATCACAACGGCTTTGCTAGAAAGAAAAACTGAATAAAAACAATTGCAACCATTTTTACTGAGTCTGGTCCTAAATTATTATGGTAGAAATTCAATCAATCTTTTCAACTAGTGCAGAGTGTTGACATTCGCAAAATATCGCAATTATCTTGATTTTTTCAAATGAAACACCCTGTATGGTTATTACTTTATCGCGTAGAGCTTTTAATAAGCTTTCTAAAAAACCTAGAGTTTGGAGGTCTAAACCTTACCTGTTTTATTGAACACCTTTTTAAACCTACAAAATTTTAAATTATTCTATTTAGCGTTAAAAATCAAGTAGGTTTGCGTTACTTCCTCTTCTAAAAAAATTGGATAATTTTTTAAAGTTACGTTATCACCATACATCAATTAATTAATTAAAACAGGTTGTTTATTGAAATACTGATTAAAACTCAAGAAACGCTAATTGGAATTTGAATTCAATGCAAGACCTTAATTATAAAAATTTCAAAATTTAATTAATTCTATAGCAAATATTCAAAAATCCTGTCATTCCTCGTCAGACAGACGTCTAGTCTATGCATAAAGAAAAGTTTGATTGCCCTCAGCATTTCAACAGAGATGTCATTAAAGGCCTAATCTATCGATTAGGAARTCTGTTGTTAAAAATTGTCGCACAATGAGACAATCATGCTGTAGCTAGATAATTCTACATTCTCAACAAACTTGACTGATAACGTAACTTTAAAAAAACTACTTTTTTTGAAGAGGAAGTAACGCAAACCTACTTGATTTTTAAGGGTAAATAGAATAAGTTAAAATTGGTAGGTTTAAAGGGTGTACAATAAAACAGGTAAAGTTTAGACTTCCAAACCCTAGTTTTTTTTTAGAAAGCTTATTAAAAGCTCTACACGATAAAGTAATAACATACAGGGTGTTTCATTTCAAAAAAAACTTGATCTTGATCAAAACTCTGCAGTAGTTGCAAAAGATTGATAGAATTTCAACCATAATAATTTAAGAGCAGACTCAGTAAAAATAGTTGCAATTGTTTTTATTCACTTTTTTTTTCTAGTAAAGTCGTGATTTTTTAAAAATGCTACTTTTTTTTCATAAAATTGCCCATAAATGATAAACGGTCAATGATAGACCCATAAAACCTAATATGGATATTCTTAGAATTAAAATCTCTTTCAAATAAGCGCATAATACCGGGTGTTCCATAAGAAAAAATATAACTTTGTTGTGCCACCTTATACAGAAATTACCTATAATGACGAAAATAATTTTGTACCATAGAAAAAATGAATGTCTATCGTCCAAAAGTAACCGTATTTCGTTATCTTCTTTACTGTCAGAGTAATCGAAGAAATACGGAGCTCTGGAACACTCTGTATATGCTTCTAAAATATACAGTTTCAAATAAAAAATAATAAAACTACGTATTAGTCTTACCTGGGTATTTTGCACGTTATCCCTAATCGACGTCATGTAAGTCTCCGACCGATCGTCGTCCAAGACAATATGATGAGGATCTCCGATGATACATCCCATCCCTTTACTTAATCGCACAATTGTCTGTGCGAAATTCGCCGCATATTTCTGATCCCTTCGTGTGTAATATAATTGCCAATTGGTTATATTAACAGGTCCGGTAAGTTTATTATCCGCCATGGCTTTGTTCCAATCAGATCCCCCGGTATATTTTCGTGCTTCAGGGTCAGGTCCTCCGAAATACACAGCTTCTTGAGGCAAAACTCGTGCTTGTAATTCAAGAGTATCATCTGCAAGGCTTAAACCCCAACCACTCAACACTTTTTGAGCCGGTTCCGACTGTCTAACTCTATCGAGGTAGGTACGCAACGCCAACATTCGCTGGTTCGGAGTTATTCGAGTGAAAGCAGCGACATCTTTCATCACCTGGAAAAAGAAACAAAGAATTTATTTTAAAATACAGCACACCTGTAACATTTTAAAAGAAGCAAAGCTAATCGATTTAAGTTCTTACGGAAAAAAATGAAAATCTTAAAATCAGCAATAAATAACAACTTTTTTACTATCGAAGGATAGATCCAACAATGAGGCTCATTATAAAAATATTTCTATTCATATACAGGCTGTCCCAAATAAGATACAAAATTAAGTTCCGTTTTTTTAAATGAAAACCACAATTTTTTATTAGATATCTGGATTCGCCACTAAATTGTCAATATAACGCACCTTGGTTTCTTAGACTTACCTGCAATAGTTTTTGACTTATGCCAATTTATGTGTCAAAATTACATCGTACATAGACCAACAAAAAATTCATAGCTTCAAAATTATTCAAGATAATTTAACCAACTTTTTTTTCATTGATTCCTTAAGCTTTAGCGCGTCTTCTGAGATAAAGGCAAACTCGGAGTCGATGTTCCATCGCGTACTACGATTTTTTGAAAATGACAAAATACAAATGGCAATAACTAGACTTTTTTAAATACAACACTCTATATTTTATTGCATCATTGCCTGGCATTTTTTATGAGTTTTTTGTCGATATAGGACTTATACTACTTTGTAAAATTTATGAGATTTTTGCAAAATAAGTAATGTTGATGGTTTTTTTCTGAAAAAAAAAATCGAATAGGCCGTTATCGTTTGACACATCTATGCAATTCTGAAAAAAAAATGTGTTTCAATAAAATGTAATTGTAATAGAAACAAGACTATATCACAATAAAGGAAACAATTTTAGTAATCTTTACAAGAATAGGAAAGAATGATTAAAAGAAAACCATGTAAAAATTTTGAGCCAAGGTTACTTATAAAAACTGCTTAAATAGGTCACCATCATGTTCCACACAAGCTGCTAGTCTTTTAGTAAATGAGCTCCGAACTCTAGCAAGCATTGCTCCATCAACTGAATAGAAGGCTTCGGTGATCCTGTTTTTCATATCATCTGCAGTTGTTGGACGATCTCCGAAAACTCTTTCTTTGACGTACCCCCCAAGAAAGATGTCTTGAATAGTTTTGAAGTTATGATTTTTTTTGTGGGTCTAAGCACGATGCAATTTTGACACATAAATTGGCATAATTCAAAAAGTATTGCAGATAAGTCTAAGAAACCAAGGTGCGTTATATTGACAACTTAGTGGCGAATCCAGATATGTAATAAAAAATTAGGGTTTTCATTTAAAAAAACAGAACTTAGTTGTGTATCTTATTTCGAATACCTTGTAGGTATATGAATTGAAATATTTTTATAATGTGCCTCATTGTTGTATCTATCCTTAAAAAAAAATCATGTCGATAACTTCGACAGAAAAAAAAGTTATTGAGCATGCACGCGCCCACCCCTGGGTCACCTGTATGTACAGACATTAAAAATAATAAGAATATAAGCCTAACGCTCAATGTTAATTTATTTTATTATTACTAAATCTGAACAGATTTAGAACTAGCAAAAAACACAACTATATGTATATTCACATCGATTTTGGTATTAAAAAAATTACATAATTACGAGTACATACAATATGTTTCACACAATTTTACGAAGCCTGCGCTTGTATAATGCAATCAGCAATATTTAATTTGGTACGAACTCAATTTTTTTTTTCAAATGGCAGTCATTTGTAGTTTGTATACCCCTTAATAATTAGTAATAATTAATGTTAAAACACAAACTCACCTTAAAATCGTTCCTCATCACATCGGTGAGTCCAGTAAGGTAACACAACTCGGGAATAAGACAGACCATGTGCTCAACTTTTGAGTCTTGAACCTGTCTAACTTGTCTGTTGATGAGCAAAGGCTGGTCTACATCTTCAATCGTAATATTATGATGTTCCTTATAGTAATCAATAAAACTATTTTGTGTTTTGTTTTTGCTTTCAAAAGTATCTTTGGGATTCATATTCCATGCAATGTCGTCTATTATGTACGTTTTATTGTTATATTTTGTAAGAACACAAGCTCCTATAACATTTTTGGTAACTTCTTCTCGGAAATTTCTTGGATTGGCAGCTCTGATTTCATGAAATAATTCATACACCGTTTGAGACCTGATTACCCGATGTTGTGTATCCAAACACAACATCAAGCCACCTTCCATCTCGTCCACGTGAACACAAAACCCTGGTAGTACTTCCAGCTTGTGCTGTGGCACCAAGTATTTATGTTCCGGACTGAAGTAATTTCGTCCCATCCGATGGTAAAGTAAAAGGTGCATAATCCTTTTGAAAAGTACATTGTAGAGATGTAAACATTCGCTCAACTTCCTCTTTCTCTTGTAAATTAGTATTGTTGTAACAGGGTTGTTTGTGTTGGGTATTACACTTTCGAATTGTTGTTTATCGGAAATTACTCTAACAGGTAGATAAAGACAAACATCACCGTCGTACACTTTCGTCGTCCTTAACTCTCCAAGAGCTTCATTCACCAATTTGATTCTGTTTGATTTGGCGTCTATATCAGGTTGAAATCGAACCTCATATTCGAAAACGCCACGATCTTCGTCGACGTTCAAAAAGATGTAGTTGGCAGTGGCTTTTATTGGAGTTCCCACCTCACCTAAATGAACAAACAACGTTATATTTTAATTCATTTTTGTGGGAGATGATAAAGTCTGTTTTTTTTTTTTAATGAAAATCTCAACATTTTCAACATTGTTTTCAACATTGTTGAATGCGATTTTTAAGTACCTAACGTATGGTCCTAAGGTTTTGTGATTTTTTTTTTAGATGGTTTTAATTTATACTAAATAGTGTTTAAATAAGTTGTTGCTGGAAGTAAAATGTGACAATTAACTTGTTAATATTATGGCAAATTAGTTGTTTCAATCGGGTTTTAGAAAATATCTTATAAGCTACATATTCAATTAAAAAATGATTGAAGCCGTTAAAAACAAAGTTGGAGTTCTACAACAAAAATTAAGTCGAAGATTCGCTGTTTCAAAGAACACTTATATTTAAAGATGTCTTGTAAATTTCGATCAAGTTTTAAATATACACATGAAGCCAATGATGATGTAAAATTTTGACCTGATTTGCCTTCATGCCACGATAGTATAGAAGCTACAAACTGGCTTAACAAAAACAATACAAATTTTATACAGTTGGAGACAAAATACTTTGGTCGTCACTTTTCTGACATTTAAATTAATTCAAGCTTTAACGTTAAAATGAATGACAATTTCAAATTAATGACAGCTATTATATTTTCCTATCAAAAATATGTACAAGCAAGTCCTAAAGCATGCTTTACAATTGCAAGTGACAAAAAAAGAGAAGCTTCTCGTATAAATTCTAAAAGTTTTCACATTCGATATCTTCGAAACCGTTACTTTGCAGACTTGTTTTTATTAAACCTTTTTTGTTTATTTTGGTCCATACTATTACCTTCTTAAATATTTTACAAACTTTTTTTAACACCCATTATTATAACCATTATTATAATTTTTTATCATTTGACGCAAAATAATTTTATCTTTTAATAGCTACATCACCTTACTTGTAAGTTGTATTAGCGATCAGGAATCAGCAAAATTAAACAATACTATGTTCGCGATTGAAAGCGGACACCCTGTATACAGGGTGTTTCAGCACTCGCGCCCCAGAGAAAAATGCCAAGTAAAATAAGATACCAGGAATACGGAAAAAATGTTAAAAAAATTATATCTATAAGAAAAGATTTCAAGAAATTATGGGTTTAAATTTTGCACTTTGACCTTATTTATTTTTGAGGGAAAAATAATTGTATTAGAAGAGGAAACAAAAAAGCTGTATCTCAAATTGTAACTTTACTTATTTATGGCTTTTATTGCCAATTTTTTTGTACCTTTTCCGAATAAATATAAAAAACATATACATCATCAGTCACAAAAAAATAGACAAAAAAGTCAAATGTCAAAAAATAAAATAATGTCAAAATCTTTTGATAGAAATTTTTTAAAGATTTTTACCGTGTTTCTGGTATCTTATCTTACTTGACATTTTTCTCTGGGGCGCGAGTTCTGAAACACCCTGTATGTCGTGCCACAGCCATCGCCACTGCTGTCACTTTTTAAAATGTTTTTTCTGTATGAAAGAATGGAATTTCTTGGCTCAAAATTTGTCAATAGGGTCCAGTTGTAACACAGATTCTTCTTTTATAGAGAAATCAAAATAATGTTTCTGATTTCCAGAGTTGGCAAATACCGAGTGAAGGAAGCTGTGGTTTTGAGACAACTTGATTAGAAATTACAAACAAAGAAAAAATCAAATGACTATGATAATTATAATTTTGCAAATCTTATAAAATCTGCGATTGTCCAAAATATTTTGAGTAATCCAGTGATTGTTTTCACACAAATTCAACACGTACCTCTATAAGAGCATGTTTCAGAGGCGGTGACCGACATCTCACTCATCTCCTTTGATAACCCCGCAACACCCCTCTTTGACTCGGATGAAACAGATGAAGGGCCCGGAGTGGATGCCAGACGCTCAAATTCAGGACTGTCTCCAGCTTTCCTTTCCTTCATGGCTTGAATTTTTTGTAGGAGCATCGCTCTTCCTCTAGTTTTCGGAGGAACTTGTTCCTCAACAGGTTCGCCTGCTCCACCTGCTGAACGGGCCTCCTTATGCTTCTTGAGCATCTCTAGCAGGGCACCTCTGCCCTTGGGTACAGGTTTTTGTTCCATATCTTGTATTGTCTTTAACACACAAAAAACAACTTATTCTTAATATACGGTAAACACATCACAATTGGTTTATACAGGAAACAAGGCAAAAGTAACAAAACAGAAAAGAACTTTACAAACGAACAAAAACAATTCTGAAAATGTGCTGTTACTTCAAATACTACCAACCTACAAAAACCAAATACACTAAGAGAAAAGTAAGGTTAAGAGATAATTTTATTAATTTAACTATGTTTACTTGTTAAATTAACATTTGATAATAATTGTTAACATATTATGTGTTTGTTTTTGTAAAATGTGGACACTTACAGAAATTAGGTAAAGTTAAATATGTTGACAAATCAAGGCAAACGTGATCACACTATTCACAACACTGTAACTGTTTAAAGAACAGCTGATGAACTGCATAACGAACCTACTAGTCCTTTATATTATTATCTATGTGAGTTTTTCATATAATTAATAGTATGAAAACTGTAGAAGCACTAAATCATGTAATAACCACACATTATTAATAGCTATAATCTGTGTAATAACAGTCGTTTATTTTAAATTTTTAACTAACTGAAGTTGAACCAGCACATCTAGCGGTAACTTTCTATACTAACAGAATAATCTGTGAATATGTAGAGTGGGGTAAAAGCTAAAAGTAGACACCTGGACGTGCAAAATTTATTATTTATTCTTGTAATATGTATTATTTGTAAAAAGGACTATAAAAAGAAACTATTTAAAGCTAGGTAAACATTAGTTAAATTTTATCGTTTCAATAGTTGCTAATCTAGCTTTGATCTTACTGTCTTAAGTAATTGAACATTGTGTTTTATCATTTTAAGAAAATTATTAGCAAAAAAGAAAAATATTATTGGTGGTCTTATAAAAGAAGTATGGCTACAGATTTGTCAACAAGAAATTACCACCTAAGATTTTAATTTTTAGGAAAATTACGTTTTTCATGTTGTTTGTAACTAGAATTTTCAGAAGTAATTTTGAATGCCTAGGGTTGGTTACCCCTTGTTGTTGACGGTTGACGTTTTCTGTCAACCTGCTGTCAACTATCAATTGAGGTATCTATACAAGCTGACAGGTGACAACCTAAATTTTGACACTAGTTACGACATCTTTTGTTTGTCAGTACAAACCTATTCACGAAATATCCCTAAATCCTAGAGAGTAATTTCTTGTTGATACGATACCTAATATGTTATTATAATTATTGATATTGGATCCTGCACCGGCTCAAGCTGATTAATTTAATAGTTATTTATAGTCGTTTTCATATTAATGTGCATCGAAGTAGTCGTTGAAAGGAATCATTTTAAGTTGGCTACCATGCGAAAATTCAAACAATCCTAATCTCAATCCTCCCTAAAACTGTGTACCCCAGTTTTTGAAGTAGCAAAAAATAAAATTAAAATAGCAAAAAATAAAATTAACAACGTAATTAACATAGGGTGGCAAACATAAAGATTTTTATAATTTTTTGATGTGATTAAATTTGTTCTGAATGACACTAATGACACTTTTTGTGTGAATCAGCATTTAAGTTAAAGATGCATTTACACTTCTACAACCTACTTGATGCACATTAATATAAAAAAGAATATACATAAAAGTCAGGAAAATCTCACATTACTGAAGAGGAACTAAGTTGAAATACAAGACACTTTGTGCCAAGTATTTTAAAGCTCCGAGTCAAGTAGAGATTTTACTGACGTGTTTTTTTTGTATTTTGAATTTTTGGAGAAATTGCAAAAAAGATGAAATTTACAAATTTTAGATTTTTTTTTAAATTCCACAAAAATCAAGCTTGTGAATTTTGTTGGCAAAAGTAAACAACATCGAAAAAATTTCATCAATTTTGTGCGTTTATTGTGAAAATAGTGTTAATCGAAAATCATTGTGAGGGAGCGGTATGAAAGGACATTCCAAATTTTCGAAGATTGGCGTCGAGAAAAAAAGTTACTTCACTTACCGAAGACGAATTTCTTGCGTATTTTGCAGAAACCCTCAAGTCTTTGGAGCATTTATTCTATGTTAAAATTCAACATAGCAAGTTCTACAATTCATATTAATATTTCTAATTAATAGTTTTAAATAAATTGTTCTTTYTTAAAGTATCTTTTTTATGTTGCGTCTTGTAAAGTCTTTACAGTACTAGTCCGGAAAATTCAGTTTTCTTGCGCGTAAATAAGCAGGAAAATGTTGTTTCTAAGACGATTTTCGGAAAAATAGATAAAATTGGAAAAAAACATAACATTGACTGGTCACAATCGTCAAAGTGCTAATTTAAAAAGTTTAATTATAAAATTTCAACCGTAGATACGTTTTATCATAAAGTTTCAATCTAGGCTTCAATTTAAATTAGTTTTTTTATTTTTCTTTACTGAATTCTAATATTATTTTTGACACTCATATCGTTTCCTAATCTCGAGTAATTAACTAAATACATTTTCATAAATATACCTGGAGAGTTTTTCTGAGAAAGCGGACATCCAAACTGCGGTGAAAATTTAAAGAGGTAAAAGAGTAGGTAATTAGAAAGGAAAATTTTGGCGTCCGAATTACGGTTTCTTTCTAGAACCCGGTTATCACCCTTGGACAGTGTCACAAGCTCACAGGGGCTTCACTGTGTAAGTATGGTCTCTGAGAAATTTTCATTGGTTGATTCTAATACCATACTTGTAAAATGAGAAACGAACGATTTGTTGGGTAACAAATAAATTTTGGCAGAACGTTTAGCAAATCGTTCCATTCTAAATTTAAAAAGTCTATTCTTCATACTTTAAAAGTAATGTCTATATTGCATTTATAAAAGAATTTATAAAAAATATTTCCACTGATATACAGGCTGTCCCACAAGTAATAATGAGCCTGGAAAAATTTTGGAAGCAACCAACATTACATTTCAAAGATAACGTGGATATTAAAATATTTAGTTTTAGTGAATTAAACATAGTGACCAAACAGCGCTTCAACTTTAATTTATAAAAAGTCAAAATTTGGTGAGAATTACCGAAAAGATCAAAAAGATTCTCATTTATGAAGAATGTTTGAAAAACACTTCGCAGACTGCACGTTTCTATCCAGTGCAATATACAAATAGACGGACTTTCTAATCTGGAGTAGTTACTTTGACTGATAGAAATTTGTCAAAAATAAAAATATGATTACTATGCTTAACTAATTAAAACAAAATATTTTAATATCCAAGTTATCTATGAAATGTAATGTTGGTTGCTTCAAAACCATTTTTAGGTTCATTATTGGGTGACACTTTATACATAACAATAGATTCCATTATTGACAACAATTTATTATCTATGTATTAATGAAAAAAATTGTCAATATGAAAAAAAATAGTTGTATGATTTTGTCATTTGTATTAGTTATAAGTGTGGTTTTAATGTAAATAAATAACTAAATTTTTCTACGAGTTTTATCATTATGTAATGAGACTGTGTCTAGGTAGGCTGAAACATTTTCACTACAATTCGGACATTGTACATTATACAAAATCATCAGTATCATTAAATAGATATTAAAAAAAGTTAAGTGTCAAATTTTTTTTGACAGATAAGATTTTTCAAACATTTTTTTAAACAGAGTTACAATTTAGGATACAGCTTCCTTGTATCCTCTTCTAATAGCCTGTAGAAAAAAAACTTGGAAAAATATTTTTTCAACAGAATTAAATGGAGTCAAAGTGCAAAATTTAAACTCTCATAACTTCGGAATTTGTATAGATAAAAAAAAATTAACATTTTTTATATGGTATCTCGTCTGGTATCTCATTTTATTAGGCATTTTCAATTTTTTGGTCTATTTAAAAAACACCCTGTATAGACCGATCCTTATGTGGCGAGCTAAAAAKTGAAAAGCCATTTTTTATTTCATTTTACCACGGAACTCGTTACGAAACACAGTCAGAATAAATCATCAAATTTGTCTATTTTTTTAAGTAATGAAGCCGTTAATCTTAAATAGTCGGGCCGGAATGAACTTGAAATTTAAAAGCGCGTTAACAGATTGATGGTTTTTACGAGACAAAGTAATGACGGCACAAATTTGTCTCTGGTCCCAACTTATAAACCCCAGGTTAGAAAGAAGATTTTCTTTTATATTGTCACGTGTTGGAAATATGGTAGTGTTGCCTGAGGTCGCATAAATAAATTCCCTTACAAATTACCTTCGACCCAAATTACCGATACTTCCCTAACCTGAAAAATAATATTTCAGTTGTTGGTTTTCCAACATTTTTGGTTTTTGAACATTATTTGTGCGTTTTGTATTTTCCAACGTTTAGTTTTTTCATTAATTAACCATTCAATGGATTTATTAAAGCACTTCAATTTCAATAAGTTCAATATTAAAACTTCAAGCTGTAAAATTATACCTACCGCACTTAAAATGTATGTAAATAACTAAGTAAGTATATTACTTACTATCAATATTTTTAAAATTTTACAGGGTTTTAAAAAATTCGCGCACTTCCGTGACTCTGTGTCATCGGGCGGTGCCCTAGATAACAAGAAAAATGTTAAAAATATCTATATCTAAAAATTCCGAAGTTATGAGAGTTTAAATTTTGCACCATGACTCTGTTAATTCTGTTCGAAAAATAATTTTTCAAGTTTTTTTGGTACAGGCTATTAGAAGAGGAAACAAAGAAGCTGTATCCTAAATCGTAATTCTGTTTATAAAAAAATAGTGTTATTTGTGGCTTTTATTGGCAAAATTTTTGCACCTTTAGTAAATAATCATAAAAAACATATACAAGATCATCAGTATCATTAAATAGACCTAAAAATGGCAAATGTCATATATGAAAGATAGAATTTTTTAAACATTTTTTCAGAACTCTGGGGGGCTAACCAATTACTCCCTTCAAGGAAGTGCGCGATTTTTTGAACACCTTGTATGTATAAAAAATTGCATGTCCTTTAAAAAATGTGACAAGCAGTGAAGCAGTAGACACTTTCTGACTCTATGGACATAAAAATGTCGGTATGGATTTTACTTTAAAATGAAATACTGCTTTGTGATATTTGTCAGAATTATTTAAAAAACATAATTTTTTTCCTAAAATAGGTGGGCATATACCTACCAATGTGTTCGTCGACCGAGTTTCATTTACCTACAATAATCTTTAATCAAGTTTCTAATTCATACTTCTTAATAAATTTGGTATTTATAAAAATACAACAATTTTTTGCTTTCATGCTGAATGCATTTACTAATTTGAGCATAAGTACAGGTAAGAGAATAGAACTGAGTGAGACGACGATGCGAAGGCAATAGGGAACACCATATAACCCAGTGTTGTGTCTCTTTCTAAATTCTAAAATCCCTTACTCAACGCTATAACTAAAAAACTAAAGGATGTTTATTTAAATTTAGTGTCATAATTGGCGGTGATATGAGTGTGTTGTGACCGGACCACACCCAGCGAGGTGTCAAATGTCAGATTAATAACTTTCAATACGAAGGTTCGTTCACAATCGAACTTTCATGGATAGCTTTGACGCCAAATTAAAAAAAAGTTGCAGTGCGACATGTCGTTTATTTATTTTTAATTTTTTGGGAAG